ACTAACATATGACTCCTAGCTGTTATTCTCTGTGAGCCACCAGTCCACAAAGTATATCGCGCGCGGAGCCTTTTTCCACAAGAGATCAAGAGCGAATTATTTCAAGGTGGTTATATTGATTTTATCGACCTCGATGTCTTGACCCGAGACGGCTTGAATGGGGCATTGGATGGCCCTCCAAGAACCTGTATGTTTGATGATCTATGCTTCTACTTCGAACATCATAGCCCACTCCTATTCGAGATGAAAGGAGCGACACCCCCATTGATTGCGTCTGTCTTCCTCAAGAAAATAGTAGCTTCTCATTACATAAAATTGATTGACTATTTCGAAATAATTGTTCAAAGATTGAAGAGGGTAAGTGTCTTTCTTCATGTCATCCATATACTAATTTCAAAATACTGCTACTGTTAACACTCAACCTTTAGGCAGAAGGACTACTTTCCCGTCAAACTGATAAGCAAGACTACAGCTCTTGGCCAGAACAACGCGAACAATGGTCCAGTCTACAACTCACCCATCGCTTCCTCTCAGAATACAGTTCCGACATCCAATCCATCATTCAAACCTTGAGAATTTCCACCTCACCACCATACCCCACCCATTACCTCTCCTCAACCCTCGACTTCCCCTTCATCCACAACTCCCTCTCAAATCTCTACAGCCGCGTAACTACAATCATATCCTCAACCCAAGGTCTCTCCTCCATAGTCGCCAATCGCGAAGCTCTACACGAAGCACGTCTTTCTGTCCGCGAGGCGAAGAATTCGAAAACGCTTACATTTATTGGGCTGGTTTTTATACCTTTGGCTTATACCAGTGCGCTTTTTAGTATGAGTGGTCAATATCGGCCGGGTGGGGAGGAGTTTTGGGTTTATTGGGCTACTTCTGTGCCGATCATGGTGTTGGTTTTTGCGGTGACGTGGGCGATGCAGTTTGAGTGGGATGAGCTTGGAGGGTGGAAATGGTGGGGGAGATCGTGGTTATTTGGAGATAAAGGGGGTAAGGGGAGTGGAGGCGGGAATAAGGCGCAATGGGGGGAAAAGAAGTGACGTGCTGAATCTTTGCATTTTGAGCTTGGTGTGCTAAATTTTCTTTGCATACTTTTAGGTCATGTCTCCCATTTTCATCGCGTGTATGTTTTATCATCACAAGCATCTCGTTTCTACAACGACATCTCTAGTGCGGTATCAAGAAGTACGAATGCCCGTGCAATAGATAATTCTCTGTATTCTCTTCCTCTTTCACAATCGCTCACCCCATAAAAAACCAAGAAATCCGAATCTTCCCTCTCCCACCAATACTTGCATTTCGCGGGCTCGAGATAAATACAATATGCTTTTTTGGGTTGGTTGTTTCGTTGCTTGTCTCATTTCATGATTGTGTAAATAAAAGGGATGTTTTGTTCGTGCGTTATATCTTTAAAAAATTTGTGAGTCTGAGATTAAGTGACTACCATGGTGGTATTCTCGCTTTCTCTGCACCGGAATATCAGGACAATGACAGGGGCTCATGGTGTTTGCATGTGCTTAACTTTCCGAAATCGTGCTCCAAATTTACTTTTTCTGGCCAGTCATATGTGCTGGGTAAATACCTGGATTTTCAAGCTCCATCATAAGCATTGTTGAACAGCATCAAAAGTATATCATTCATCTACACTGTTCGAGACAATCCACTTTGTCAGTATTCTGCACCCGCTTGACTAAGGCATTTTCGAAATTGTACACATTGATAGCTTTCACGGATACCTGCATGACATGAATTTTACCCAGAGGCTTACGAAATTCTTTGAGAGGTATTGATATGTGAAGAAAATTTTTCATTGGAATTGCTATTAAGATAGATAGATCTCAGTCTCGTCAAACTCCACATGTTCTCCATCAATGCCCCCCACCCCAACAAATATTACAACCTCGGCACCATGGAAATAATTCAATTGGTATGAATGACTGGTTAATCACACGAGGTTAGCGAAGCAAGGGTGAAGGAGTTTAAGAGGGGACTCACATAGATTGATTGAGTAAACGTGCTGGGGCTTTAACACGGGACTTCGAAATGTGCACCGTGGCTTCTCCCCGTTTCTCTAGTCGTACAAGAGGATCTCTACAAGGAGAGGTGTCCGTCATGGGGCTTTAAGACATTGCTGCCGCTTCTCCCCTTTTCTCCAGGCGTGCAAGAGGATCTCTACGAGGAGAGGTGACCGGCACAGTATGGGGCTTTAACACAGGACTTCGAAATGTGCACCGTGGCTTCTCCCCATTTCTCCAGTCGAACAAGAGGATCTCTACTGGGAGAGGTGTCCGTGAACCCCGGGGCATAATTCTAATCAGCCAAGTCGGAGACGATCTTGCTGGATTTGGAATTCTCATCAGACAAGTTGGAGACAATCTTGTCGGACTTGGTAATCTTCGATCTTGGTGTTGAGTTGAAAAAAATGAAATGAGTGGGAAGTGCGCAGACTTTATAGAAGTTCTACGGAGAGGCCAGTTGGTGCAAACAGAACAAACATGGCTTATTTAGGAATAGATTAGGTTCGTAGTGCAATTTGAAGAAAAACGGTTATCTGTCAATAGGAACGTTTTCACCGGTAAGGTGTTCAATACCTCCAGGCTCAGCTTAACTACCCAGTACGTTCATAGGAATTCGCATGCAGATCTCTTAGTAATGGACAACTGTTATATACCCGGGTGGTCTTATCGTATACATGTCACTGTAGTGTAACGATAAGAACATGATCTTCTCGATAGCCGGCACAGAAGGGGCGGGGCAATCGAGTGGTATCGTCTCGTGGAACACTAGGGCGAAAGTATAAAAGTTGACTTGAAGTTCGGATGGAAGGATCGTTGCTACACACGTACCATTCACGCACACCAACTAGCCCATTTCTTTTCAAGCAAAGCTTCATTGTGCTGGTTTTCAAGTCATTTGACCACTTCTCTATTCGTGAGATCGGCTTCATTGAAAATATCTCCTTAGTTGACGATCCAGATAGTAAAAATCGATATGATTGAGTTTCCTACTTTCTGACTTGCTCAATCTGATTCTCTCCAGAAGATGATGTACTAGTGGGAACTAAGTGGGCCATCCCATCCCTTTTTTACCCGACGTTTGTAGCGATCCCGCCCCCCCTTTTAGCGCGGTGCAACATATTAAACTTTGCGTCAATGAAATAATAGGACGAAATTCTTTGACCTCAACATCAAAAATTTCAATGCTACAATTGATTAACCACAGATGGATTACAGCATTAATGAGAGCATAAGCTTGTCTCTGAACAAAATATTATCCAAAATAGCATTAGATCGATTTCAACACAAATGTTATCGGAGTAATGGAATTTCAAAACCGTTGTACTAATGGTCAAACGCTGTGTGTCCTTCCGCTTGTAAAGAGCTAAAATTACTTACTTTGTTTTTTGTGGTTCACTTAATCGCTGAGATACCCACGCAGCCGGGAAGTATGTACTAGGTATGAAAATTCGAAATCAGATGCACATACCATCACATGGTAAACTACAAGAAAGCTTGGCTCACTTTATGATCACAACCAACATTAACATGAAAGGACGCCACCGATGTTGGGCAGAACGACTCTCCCAGTATAACTTACAAATCCAGTATCGTCCTGGAAACCAAAACGACGTCGCCAATGCCCTGAGTTGGTACGATTTAGGAGAAGCAAATTTTCATGCCATGCCTCTCCTCCCCCCATGGAGATTTTCGGCGAAAATGAATCCGTGTTGATTTACAGAACAGTCGTACACTATCCGGCCACACGACTATGAACCTACTAACTCACTCTCCTCAGCTTAAGCTTCTCTCCTTTTAGGCCTGATTTCCGTGCCAATACGGAGTTATCGGAAATGCAAGCTACATCTGAACTGGAATACGGCTTGCTTTGCCGAATCATCCGATGGTGAACCCGGCTCAACTTTTTATCCGGATGTAGATGAGTCAACTGATGCTCAAAAAGGGGTGGACTCAAGTTAAACTTCCTCCATAAAGGAGCCCGAAGCTTCGGGGACACTGGATTTTCAAAAGCACTTACTTTTGTAATACTGAAAGGTAAAAAACGCCGACGATGAAATTTTTACTGTGTAGCGGCGCCGATAGCTAAGTGTCAAATCTTAGTACATGACACATCAGCAATGACTCGATGAGAAATCATTAGTACTTGATGTACTAACAACGAGAAAAACTCGAGATACAACAGTAGATACAAGGATTCATGAGATAACGGAAAACTTGAGTTTGAGATTGGCTTTTGCACTATTGCTTCAAAAGCTTCCAGACTTTGTATAGATACTCATTTTCGATCAAGTAATCAACTTGTAGATTTTGATCCGAATCAAACAGTATTTGGAATGATTGTGATTATTCCCACTTTGAAGAGAGTCTTGCAAACACGTGTATCTGCTATCAATATGATGTACTAACAAAGGCAAAGCTATCGGTTATTGACTAGTTAGCCGTGCAATCAGCAGGGCCTCAAAACATAGACCACTATTACTACTTCTTACCGTAATGTAAAGATTTGTAATTGAACACTATTGCTACGGCGCCGAAAGCCGTAGGAAGTGATGAACTGTAAACCATGGCAGCAAAGTCGTCCACCGTAGGCAAGTCGGTTAGGCTACCAGCACAACCCACAAATGTATATTTTAAAATCCAACCCTAAGTGTAGTCTTGCGGGACTTTGTAATTTGCTGTATCTGCTACGGCTCTTGAGACTGTGGAACGACGTACGCCTTGATTACTAGCAGGATATGTGATTCTGGCGTATGAACCTCCCATGTTAAAGGTCCATCTTTCACCCTGTTGGTCTGCCTCTTTCCAATAAGTTCGGACAACTTCCTGAAATCAACGAATCTTCAATTAAGTCAGAATCTGAAACGATACCAAATTCTTTCAACATCTCCATTCGAACTCCACTATTCTATCTTACCTTATAACCTACCAATTATTGCGAGAAATCTATCCACCAACAGATAACGATTAAAGATGTCTTTCCAACAAATTCCCAATGAACAATCAGAAAGTTCCTTCATTCCGCCTGTGAACTCTCAAGCCAAGCCGAAGACCCGCACAGGCATACATTCTCTTCCTATGGAGATTCTAGGTCGAATTTCTGAGGAGTCTATGAAGGAAGAAGAGTCAGGAACAAACACTGGCAACATCACACGCAACTTGCCGAACTTTGTCACAAGCTTGAAATGTGGCGTGAACGATCCATGGCGTAGAGCTTATATCCATACCCTGGATGCTTGCAGCAGAAACTGGGTCTATTCTCTTCACTTTGGAAATAACTGGAAGCTACAGATGGATTCCGAAGAAGGTGGACTAGTCCGAAATATTGTCATCAAATATTTACCTGAGATCTGGGAAAATCACCCCTCGCACTACTCGCTCTATAGACCTACCCAGACTATCAATGGTGTCCCCGTGGTCAGTGCATCGGCGGGGCAATTAACCATTGTCAAAGACGTGAGGTATTACTACTGGAATCCAATGCCAGAGGTAGTGAACTCGTCACTAGACAATTTACCCAACGTTCGTTCAATTCAACTAGAGTTCAAGACCTTCTGCGTTTGCTTCGAAGCAAAAAGCCTTGGTATGTTTAGAACTTTGCAAAGCTTTCTGGGCGATCATAAAGACTTCAAGCTCAAATCCGCCACAATTGAGTCAACGAGTAGAGTACTAGGGCCAGATATGCAGCGAATTGTGATCCCGCAGGTCACTGTAATGGCAGGCTATGACGTCTGTTTTGATCTCACAGACAAGGGAATCTGGACATTGAAAGTTTTTTCAAAACAGACGGATGCTAGAGCGAAGACTGTGAATTTGGATCCAGAAAACTATGAGGGTTCACTGTCGCGTATGCATTTATACGATGTTGTCCAGGTGTTGCGTGGATGCAAATGGACGTGGATACTTGAAAGAGAAGAGAATTAGTTTAGCAGCTTAGAGATAAAAGACTGGTCCGAGGATTAGCAGGTCATTAATTTGTCTTACTGCATGTTACTTATATCAGAATGATGATTTAATGGACGTGAGCCATTCCTGAAGCCAAAACCATGTAATTTGCGTGACATTGCCTCCTGAAAAGAGTGATTGATCTTCTCATTTCCAGGATGAAATCGGATCCACGTACCCACCATTTTTCTTTGAGTCTTTACAGATACAGAGCGGGAATGAAGAAGTGGTATGAGATGAAGTGAAGTGAAGTCCAGATTACCTAAGAAGAAACCTGGACACGTGGCCAGTCACAGAAAAAATAGTATCACGTGAACGGTGGCTCCCTCATTCGCGGGGGAAAAGATGGCAGAATTGATCAACCGAATAAATTCTACAATCAATCAACCGGAAGTAAAATTACGAGAGTTAAAGTACGAAGTGAAATATTGGGCATTCCTCGGTTATAGCATAATTCAAAATATCAATTGTCCAAATCGAAACGGAACAATTGGATTGATGAATGGTTTTGCTAGTAGTCAATCCCGGTCTGTCTTTTCTCCTGCAATAGCTTCCTAAGCATTAACGTGACAATAAATCAACCTGTAACAGATTAAGCATTTGGAAGTTGATATAACATCGTTCACAGCATTTCTATTTCTAGCATTGAAGTCATAATGTCCGCGAGAACTTCAAGAAAATTGGATAGGTCTTCCCACTCCAATTCAAAGATTGAAGTTTGAAGACTGGAGGACGGTATATATCAGGATAGAAACCGCTGATTTATATTGATTTTAATGCTCAGACGGTGGAAATAAGACAGTTATCGTCATCATTGTAATTTATCTCCATTACAGAGCCGCCCATACACATGCTTAAGAACCTCCATCATCAAGTTCTCAGAAAGATGTTTCTTTTATTGATCATGAAATGGAAACGTCGTAATCTACAGAGGTTCAAGTGCGTGTTTGTGTCTGAACGGGTGCATCTCATCATAATGATGATTTCATCAGGTCTCCAAGTATCGATTTCAGTCATTCCCGAATGTCCGTAAACACACATATCCTCCTCCCTCTTAATTGGAAATACCAACTCCAATTATTTTGTACACGCTAGTCAAACTTTGAGATATGAAATGAGTCTTGTACTTTTATAAATCTTCAGCTTCATCATCCTAGGTAGATGAAGCGTTGAAGAAACCACTGGAGAAAGAAGTATGCTTAAGCACCATCAGCTTCTTTCGTGATGCCGATATCCCCCTTACAGGTTTGCACTTTTGTCGCTTAAGTCCTTTCCTACACTGCTGCTGTCATCTTTTCGTCTCCACTTTTGCTTGGCATGGTCGCAAAAGAAGTGATCTCTACTTTCACATCATGTTTGATGGTAGGCATCTCTGAAAGTGATCCGTCTAAGTTTCGAAAAGAAGAGTGGTGACTGCTGATAGCCTATTATGAGGGGTTGTTGGCATTCTTGGTCTGCCACAGGAGGATAGAAACATATGTCAGACGCAATGTGCAAATGGTTCTTAGCGCGCTTTTCTTTCTGCTCAACGATTACCGGATCCTGATTGTCATTGTCCAATACGATGACATCAATCCAAAACACTTCGCAAAAGCAATCAGCTTGAGCTGGGTGGCCCACTCACCCGTTTTCGACGTTTTCTTCAGGTACTCCCGACCAACTCGACCCCCTTTTACAGCAGTCGCTGCTTCGTTATCGACAGAGAGAAGGGAGCCGCTGCCAGCTCTCCCAGTGCACCTGGCGAAGCTCATATCTAGAGATGATATGAGAAATGGTTTAGAAACTCATCTGGATGAGTCCACACGTGATTGATTACACGATGGCAGGTCACCATGTGATTGTTGAAATCACCAAATATCTCATCTAAAAGTACTCCAAAAAGGCGATTTCTTAGAACAGAAAGAAGATTGGGCACAGCAACTTCCCCACGAGATTATACGCAACCTTTACATCGTGCATTACAAGGAAGGAAAGGACCGAAGTTCAGGTATACATTATACACTTGATAAAACGAAAAGAACAAGGCAGTACTTTTTGGTCAAATAGGGAAGTCCCTTCAGACCATTGCCAAAACAAAAACCTAGCATACGGTCTTCCAGACTTTCAAACCACCATCTAAAATGCGGGGTTCAAACTCCGCCGTCATGATAGGGCTGAAAGTTTAGTCAGTGTGTGATTTGAGAGACACGAAGCACTTGCCCAATGTAGCACGTGGCTTGCATATATATGTACGCCAGGGTAGGATTTGTTTAGGCAGTCGTTCTGAAGATATTCAGAAATATATATAAAAGGGATGATCTAAGAAGGAATTCAGAAAGAATATTCTTGGCACGAGCAGTTGATATCACAAAAACGCTCGAGCCTCGGATTATCTCCGGAATATCTTCTGTGCCACAACACTCCACTTTCAGTATATCCCAAGTGAGATATCTTTTGTCTCTACTTCCATTCGAACATTGGAATCCTGTTGTCAAGACTTGGATACCAGCTATATCGACAATGCCAAATATTGTGGTTGTTGGGTTCGTTTTCTCAAACCTTTCTCTCTTATCTTCCTAAAGTAACTCATGATGACTGACGTCTTTGAAGCGCGGGAGTGTCCGGTTTAACCACCGCTTTACTCTTATCCCAAAATCCTGACTTCAAAGTCACCATTGTTGCAAAGCATATGCCCGGTGATTACGACATTGAATACACATCTCCGTGGGCTGGTGCAAATTATCTTCCGTGAGTCACAATTTACCATTCCCCTGTCCGGGCAGAATCAAGTACGAAATGAAACATTAATACTCGATTCACAGGGTATCAAATGCATCCGACTGTAGATGGGAGAAGCGGACATGGTATGAACTCGCAAGACTAGCGAAAGATGTCCCAGAAGCCGGCATTCATTTCCAAAGTAAGTTCTTACAGTCCTCCCACTTTTGAGGTGACTCCTTGCTGACTCCATCAGACACTGTGATTTTAAACCGCAATAAGGATGCTCAAGGGATCACAGGTCAGTGGTTCAACGAGTTACTCTCCACTGATCCTTGGTTCAAAGATGTTGTCCCTGATTTCCGTGTATTACCACAAAACGAGATCCCTGCTGGTGCGGACAGTGCAACTGCATTTACATCAGTTTGCATCAACACAGCCGTCTATTTATCCTACCTCGTTGGTCAATGTCTAAAGAACGGCGTCGAACTTCAACGCAGCATCATCAACCACATTTCTGAAGCTGGCGATCTACATCACACCGGCAGCAAAGCTGATGTGATCGTGAACTGTACAGGTCTTTTAGCCTCGAAACTCGGCGGCGTTATGGACAAAGATGTCATTCCTGTTCGAGGTCAAATCGTACTCGTACGTAATGATCCTGGTGTTATGTTAACAATTTCCGGCACCGACGATGGAGATGATGAGGTATGTTATATCATGAAACGTGCAGCTGGTGGTGGTACAATTCTAGGAGGCACATACCAAAAAGGAAACTGGGAATCCCAACCGTGTCCGAACCAGGCTATGCGAATCATGAAGCGAGCTGTGGAGTTATGTCCTGCTTTGACAAATGGAAAAGGTATTGAGGCATTGAGTGTCATACGTCATGGAGTGGGACTACGACCGTTGAGATTGAGTGGAGTCAGGATTGAGAAGGAGAAAATTGATTCTACATGGGTGGTTCATAATTATGGACATGGAGGTTGGGGATATCAGGGCTCTTATGGATGTTCGGAGGGGACTGTGGAGCTTGTTGAGGAGGTTTTAGGATCCAAGTCTAGACTTTGAGCGCGATTCACTTGATAATTTTTCTACATGCCCCAAGTGTGCCAGTGGGAGATGGTAGATTTTTATTGCCGTAGATATTGTCTCTATCTTGAGACTTTTGAATTTTTATCATTCAAGCACGGAAAAGTCCGCCAGATAACGCTACATATTGTTCACATGTCGCATGAAGTACCTCATAAATAAGTTTTATGAGCAGAAAAGCCAATTATCCAACCAATAGTAAAGGATATATCATCCCACATCTCTAGATCATCCTAAAGAGGAAGTGCCGCGCCCAAACCAAAAAATCACTCGGCTAAAAGAGCAGCGTTTCAAGGGAGCCAGACTTGCGTTCATCGGCCCAACAGAGTATAGACAGGACTGTAAGAGTTTTGTCTGGCACCCGATTGTATCCATGAAGACAAAACGATTTCGTCCATAAAATACAACGCTGGCCTCCTGGCGCATTTTTTGATTGGTGTACAGTGATGCATGCCATTTACTTGGTCTCCCTGGAATCACTGTTTTGACCGCGTCATCATAGATCTGGAAAATATATATTCCTTGGGGTACAACTAGCACTCTTTGGTAGACGTCGTCGCGAATTTTTAGGGGTAAGTCAAGAAACTGAGGACAGGTGAGGATGCTTGCGAAACATAGATATTACTCGTTATATGAGCATCCATAGCAGGTCATAGGGAGAGAATTTAAGAAGCTCGATAGAAAAAAGAAACAGCCAAGGCTCATGCAGACCTTGTTGTAAAATGGAATGAGAAAAAGAAAAAAAGAGAACGAGAGATGAAGTCGAAACAAAAAGCCATCGTATGTTTCGGTATCGGTGTCAGACCCCTAGTTGCAGTATTGTATGTATGTCAAGAGTCGGATAGTATGCACGATGATTGATTGGGCGACGACAATGCTACATCGGCAAATTCATCGCCGATTTGCTGATCGTACTGAACTGCTTAACAACTCATGCCTTACCTGAAGACTTCCTATGCTGGCTGGATGTGACCACTTGATGAGGGCCTTTGGAGCTTAACTATCTTTCGAATCCCTTGCACTTAGATTGTATTTGATTTCCATTCTGCCCTATGTATCATGACTATGCTCGTCAACGTTTCTGATCTTGACCTTCTGTTTGGGTAATTTCAAATGCAATCTTCTAAATTTGATATCGCAAACAGGCCGACCCGTTGGGGTCCATAATTAAAGTGTTTCTGAAGAGTATATGTCAATTGAAGAACTACCCCAAGATATCGGTCTTTCAGCGTGAACAGCAGGTAGAACTATCATGAACGTTCCTATACATGGAAAGGACGGGAGAAATGGGTAAATTATCCACACTTAAACTTTGTATCTGGAGCTATGGCTTTCTTCCCAGCTCATCCAGAGAGATTAGTCCAGTGGTTTGCGCGTAACAGTTGCCTACCAGATTGATGGCCAACAGGACATGCGCAAACGAATTCATCTCGGTGTGTTTGTTAGCAAGAGATTCATGCCCATCATCATTCAGCGACTGGGAAATGAAACTCAGAGCAAAGCAAAGTCTCAAATCAAACTTCTCGCTGCCTCTGCAGGAGATAGCGATTGACTGATTGACAAAGCATTCAGAGGAACCATGAAGCGCATGACGGATCCAGGCACATCATCGGTGTCGTAAAGCACACAGCAACAATGTATTGCATCAAGCATCTCTGAGTTGCGATTATCCAATGTTCCAGTATCTAGTATGTACCCCCATCATAGGAAAGCGTGAATCAGACAGAGGACTAAACAACAAAGTTTTCACACTGATATAAAACCCCCTCGATTTCACAAGATCAGTATAATTCGGCACGAATACCGCTATCGAAGATGCACTTTAAGATCTCTTTTTGGGTCAGTCAAGGTTCTCTACTAGAGACGACGCATTTTGATCAAAGTAATGTTTGATTGACTGATAGACATCGAATTCGAATTCCTATCGAAAGGCATGGATTTGATGTCTGTCTTTCTCTTGAAGTAATGAAGGAGATGAAGGGAAGAGATATAACATATTGATATCACAACAGGATATCCCTAGGGAAGATAGATGAACAAATGATGAAAGTCGAATATTTCTCACCTCGAGAAATTTGAGAAGAAACGTTTATCAATTAAATACATTATACCAATAATACAATAATTCATCTACAATCGTGGGTACGAAGATGACAATACTAGATAATTATATTGCTAGCAAGTTCAAATTGCCTACCTAATTTCACAATTCACGTAACTTACCCTTTGTTTTATAAATTCTTGGCAAAATCTTTGTGTTCCATCGCAGATGAAATGAGGTACATGAGGTGCGTGCACCAGCTTTCAAAGATCTTCATCTGTTTTGATCCTGCCTATCTACTGAACACCTTACAACCACAACCACCACGTCCAATTACGGGAAACTCTGCGATTCCTAAAGTCCCCACGAACGAAAGATAATATATCAATACGGATATTCTCATACTATAGCAACGATGGATTACTCTGATGCTTTGTGAGTTTCCCAAAACTTGCCTGCACCGTGCTCGTTGCGCGGCTTTGAGCTTGAGCTTGAGATTGAGGGCTAGACCGATTGATGATAGTTGAGGGATTGGGGCTTCAGCTAGAGCTTAAGAATACATTCTACTTCTTGGTAGATTCGATAGATTGGGTCATGGCAGACGATGAAAGTCCAAAATGATAAAAATCGATTCAATTGGAAGCTCCTCAAGCTCCAAGGCTTCATCAAGAGCTCTCCCCAGCCCTCAACCACACCAGCCCTACTGCCCAGCGTCCACGATTGAATGTGCCAGTTCAAAGTTCATTGTTGAAGACGAGACTAATCATATATTCCTCTTAGCCGACTTGTCAATTTGGCAGTAGGTGTTTTTATGGTTCTTGGTGGAATTTCCCAATTCTTTCCTTTAGGCTTGTAAGTAACATACATATTCATGCGACAGCAAGAATCGAGAAATCTGCTCGTTCTAACATCATCATAGCCAATCTATTATCATTGGATGTTACGTTATCATCTTCGGAATCTGTAAGTTATCCTCATACTATATCCTCCCGCTCACGAAGATTACTAACATACAATTTCCCAGGCACTGCTCTTCTTGGTTCGTCTCACCTACCTTAAGCTCGAAGTTTCACAACAATCCCATCTCATCAAACCTCGATTTGGACTTCAAATGAGCCTGCCAAATATGTCGCGCATGTCACTAATACAAAATTATAGAATTCCAAATTCCACCACAAGTCTCGCGCTATGCATCTTTCCTCTTTTCCTTCCTTGGACGAGGAATCTGTACGTCACTCTCCACATCCACATATACAACACCCACCACAGTCCGAGCAAAACTAACACCCAAACCTAGTCTACGTATTCGTTGGATCCATTCTCTTACACGACCACGTCTTGCGCGTCATTGCCGGTTCTTTAATTGGCATAATCGGTCTTATTTACATTGGTCTCGAGTTTGTACCATCTATCGAGCCACCTGCGAACATGAGGTGAATACACAATCCCCCTCCCCCCACATATCACTCTATACAATTACAGCCTATACGAAACCTTTTGCTAACGATCATTACCGCAAACAGAGAAGCAGATGGAGGATGGGGCGCCGAACAAGTCTAATCGCATCGCATACCTCCCGTCGAGTTCCAAGACTCCTCAACCGCGATCACTCAGCTCAAACAAGATATCTTCCATATCTCCTACGATACGCACCATACCTCGATATCGCATCTACTTTTCCCCTCGCAAATACTGCCTTAGCCATCATCTATTTATTGGTACTAAAGACGCGAGTTTCCAGAAAAACAGCCTTGTATTACATATCATATTGTCTCTCTTCCACCGAATCACCGATTCAAATTAGCTATAGAACGGACGGTGACATGTCGAAATATCTCCTTACTATTTCTCGCGTGCGTATGTATGTACGTCAGCCGGTCCTCAATAAAAGCAAGATACAAAATCCAAAGCTGGGAAATTACAGAATTCACATTGTGAGACTTTCAACTTGGGATTATGTGATATTGATATAGTGTTTTTATTTTACTTAGACTCATTGAACTGCAAGTATCGAGGGTCTGTTCTGTCATTTTTTGTTCCGTTGGAACCGCCTGCACCCATCTTGCTTGCCTGAGCCTTAGACCCTGTATCTGTTTCAATGTACACATTAGAGTTGCAAATTTGTGCATCTAGCACTCCCAATATCAAAAGCCCGAACCTGGCACTGAAGATATACCAAAGATAAATCCTGCACGCCTCTTGCCATTCCAATGTTACACTGACAATAAGTATAATGAAATCCCCCATTCGTTAAACGGCAGAGGGGTATCTGTGTCCCATCCCATTCCGATTATGTAATGCCCCCGAAAAAAGAACCCCTGGTAAACTCCCATCATATCATGCAGTATGTGATCCAGTCCTTGAAGACAAACTTGCTCACTCCCATACCTCTATTCTTACTCACTTTCCTTTCCCGTTTCGTGCTCATCGTATTCTTTCCCATATCTGCAATAACCCTGCGAGAAAATTCACAAAGTAAACGCACATTCGTAATTTCGTAGCTTTCTTTTTCGTCCAATTTACCGGAAAGGCTAATGTGGTTGGCGGGTAAATATTAATCCAACCCGTTTCCCAATTCGGCCAATTCTCTTTCCTTGGCCTTTAAAGCCTCCCTCATCTTTTCCGCTTCCCTCTGTAGCATCTCCCTTCTCTCCGTTTTTGCGCGATCGCTTTCACTTGCCGGGTCTTTCGCACTGCTCAGTGCACTTCCAGCTCCACTACCCGAGGGACTGGTTGAATAAGTAGCAGGACCGACGGTACTAAGACTCGGGCTAACAGCGGCGGAATACCGGCTTGGGCTTAATCTCAGACTATCGGTTCCGCGGCGGAAGCTAAGGTCATTCTCAGGATTAACATCAGAATCGGAATTTGTGAAACCGTGGTTCAGTATCGATTTTATGGACGAGAGACGTTTAGGTAAGGTTGATGCGTGTGCAGATTCCGAGGAGAGAGAATTATTTGGGTCCATATCGGTAGCGGAAAACGATCGTTTTCGAGAAGGGGAGAGATAATTGTTGGGCGATACGGAAAGTCGATTATGAATTGGCGAAGGATACGATGCCATTGGCGGCAGTCGATTATCATTAGTCAAAGAGTCGAGATTTTGGCCTTGATAATTTGGATTGGACGTGTAGGCGCCAAGATCAGATGGTGGATGTTGCTGATGCTGATGCTGGCCATTTTGTGTCCGGATTGGTTCGGGTAGAGCTCTTCCTGGATCGTTGCGTAAACGAAGACCCAAGTTTACTGATCCGTCAGGATTCATTGTACCTCGCTCAACTACCTCTTCTGGGGAAGCACGGTCGGACTCTGGCGAATCCATTGTACTACTAGTTTCGTAGCTGGAAGCTTGAGAACCTTGAACTGCTGGAACCACCCTCTTGCGACGTTTGATAATTGATTTCTTCATAGTCACTGGTCGATGCACGCCATGGAGTTTATAATACAGCCCTATCATGTGTTAGTTCGGATGCGTTTCTAGCTTGTCGGTGAACTTACCACAAGCGTTACAAATTGTGTGACCACTCTCATCTCTACGCCAGAGCGGTGTGATGGTAGTTCCACAGTTTTGGCAAGCTACAACGACCGTGGTATTTTGTGCTTGTAGTTGGAGGGATGCGACATCAATCGGAGACGGCGCATCTGTTGGTTGATCATTTTGCGGCTGTGGTGTTTGTGTTGCTTGTCTATCTTGACAAGAAGTAAAGTGAGCGGTTTTTGAGACACGATTGTTGAAAGCTGGGCATCCACCACAGCCTTCGGCGCCTCCAGTACCATTGCAGCGTCCACCACCAGGGCATGTTCCTGTGGAGGTTTGATCTGCAGAAACATAGGTTGCGCCAGCAGTAGGAAGTGAAAGTGGCCCGCTCGCAGAGGGAGATTCCCGTTGATCTCCAGAATAACCGATAGGAGCAGTGGTTGGTGGACGTTTTAGATTTGTGGGCCGAGAAGCATTGCGAGCTTTTTGATATAAACCACAGGCATTGCATATAGTTGCTCCTTGCGGAGACCTTCGCCAAAGTGGTGTTCTAGTTGTGCCACAATTACTTGAAAAAGTTAGTCACAACTACCTACAAAGCAATTGTCTTCATACCTGCAAATTTGATTAGATTGAATCTGCTCCACCCCTGGGGACGACGCGGGGGCGCTGGCCTGGGAACTCTCTCTTTGACTCCGCTCTAACGAGATATCCCTAGGACTGTGGTGATTTACTGGAATACCAGTAGTCATAATTCTATCCGAGCTTTTATAGTCGGCATTAGATAAGATGCTATGGGTATAATCTCTTTCTTGTTGGCGCTGATCGTCGTATCTTGAAGAGGTTGCGGTTCCGATCAATTGATTGCCTGCTTCATACTCTTCTTTGGTAGGCTGTTCCATTGCAGCAACAGCTGATCGGACAGGAATCACTTCCTGCCTCCGTTGATGCGGTGATGATGAGCCTCTGTTACTCATATTGCTAAAAGGATGATCCGACTTGAAGCCAATCGAAGGAGCTGTTTGAAGTGCGCAGCACATATGGCTTCCTGAAAACGTTGACGTGTCTCGGAAATATGTGATTTCTGACGAGCGGAGAGAAAGCAGTAGCTAACGCCAAAAGATATGATGTGAAAACTGTCAAAAGTAAGAATCGAGTTGTAATGTTCTTTATGAAGTAGTGAGAACTGTAACGCCTTTGGAGAAGGAAGAAGACTTTGCTATTGAAATAGCGTGAAGGTGATGTCGATTATTCTCTAATCTCCTCGTGCAATTATAGCTGGGGTGGTGAGATGATATGGTCGCCGATGAGGTTATCCTACTGACGTTTGGATGCGTATGAGGAGGCAGGGTTAGATTGCCTTTGAATCTTAGCTTAGTCTCTTAAGCTCTACCTACTTGCGCCAAAAGATACAAGCTGCTAGGGCGTGATGCAGTAAAGATTGGTGCTTATATTCGGAAATGCTGTGAAAATACTGAAGATTACTCCTAGAATGAAATTGGTGCCCAGTTAAGGCTTGCAAGATCCAAAAAGCCCTGAAGATAATTTGAGGGTTTCGTCCTAGAGACTCGGGGCTAGAACTTCTGATAAGAATTGAAAGTCTGTTATCCAAGGAGTTGGCCTGGTTAAGTTGAAAGTCAGCTCGACAACGTGGTAATAGTTATTGAAAATAGACTTGACAAAAATCGAGTAAGCTATGCAAATTCCAAGTGCTAACAATAATGCAATTCTCTATGTTGTGGTCGTGATTGTGATTTGCGGTTGCACGGGCCAAGTTTATATTGGAGCGGGAAACAGAGCCTACAATGCACTACGCAAACTTCGACTTTGCCGTTGTTGAATGGGAGCAATGGCAATGCGATCAACCTCATTTGCTCTAGTAAAGGCTCCAGAACCAAATAAAAGGGGGTAGAGTGACGGAAAATACAAGTGTTGAGATATCGTGCTGTGTTACCTACCTAAATGCGCTTGGATTTAATGGCTTTTGGATCAAAATGATCGCCGTGATCTCCGGAATTTCGAGCACGAGAAAAGGAATATTGAAGTTGATAATATGAGGAAGGATTGAGCGATTGCGATTTGATTTAACTTCACTCATGCAAGCCCAATTCCTTGTCTGACACAAGTTTTGCTTGCTTGCTCTCACTGAAATCCGTGACTGAAGATTGATTCGATAAAGTCCAGTGACCAAAGTTAACCTTCCTCTCCTCCCCCTTTCGGATGTTTCAAAAGACTCTTTCTTTCTTTCTTTCTTTCTTTCTTTCTTCTTCGCTCCTTGAATCTGGATGTCGTCGTTCTCTTTTCCTTATTCAAATGTGTGGCCTTTGTCATCCATAATCTATAATGTGTAATACTTTGTAGAATCCAAATAACGGTGAGATGAGCAATGTAAAGTCAGGGGGGGGTGTAGAGGCTGGATGAAATGGAAGGAATGTCCGAAAGAATATCCTCTTTCCCTTCACGGCGGTAGTGACAACAAGTGAAGAAGATTATGGTGAGAATCGTGAAGTGTGAAGATGTTTTGAACTCTCCTTCGCCCTTGAGACGGTGTGGTCGGTGTGGTCGGTGTGAAGGGGATTCCTGTTGCACGAATGGCTTTTTCGAATATTCCAATGAGTTTTTTTGATGGTCGGTACTCGTGCAGTAAGGTTGTAGTAGAAAAGGGCTTTAGTTACCTAGTAGGTAAGGTTAGAAATTGATCGCTACCTAGGTAAGTTATGCACACCACTTGCTCCTCTCAATCAAGAAACACCTGGAGTCCTGGAAAGGCAAGCGTCACTTACGCATAAAGAGTGGTTCTATTGCGATTAGCGTGAGCTAAATGATCTTAGCGTGGTCATTCACATTATCTTATTTTTCATTGGCTCGGTTACGGCCATCTTGCACAAAGATTTGATGCAGGGTCGCAAAATGGAATACTTATCGGGACCTTCCTGGCATTTCCCTCGCACATCCCTAGCATTGCGCAGGCTGGGACGCTTGGAACTTGGTATCTCAGTAGGTAAGCAAAGAAAAGGTAAACGGCCGTTGGTCCAACATGCCGGGTATCACTTCACTCACCTTCCGATTGATTCGAATTTCCAATATTACGGAGCAACACATGAGATAAAGGTCACGAGACATCCATGCTAGCAGAGCCTACCTAAGCCTATCTGGGTACTTGGTATCCCCTTTTCCATTTATTACTAGATGGACTAGATGGACTAGATGGGACTCACATTCCACTCCCAGTGACTCGAGTACCGAGGATTACGTGATCAAGATTCTACCATGTCTTTGACCAATCAGTACCAGGGATTATCTGATCCTATGCGTATACGGAGGATACACCATGTACGATTAGAGAGTGTAGAGTATCAAATAATATATAGATGCGAACGTAATCTTCTTCAACAAGCGACATCGACAAAGCCAACTCCTGTGGAAGAAAAACATTATGTAATAATATCGCATCAGATGTCACCACTAGCTATCTTTGTAATGCCATTCAAAATCATGGCAGACGATGCCCAGATTCATGTCATGGCACAGAAAACTTTCTTCCATTGGAACACTATCTTATCTAACCATTGAAGGGGCAGCATCACATATCACATTCATCGCTTTGAACAATTAGTTCACCGGCGACCACATTTCAATCACATTTCACTTCCTCAACGAAAGCCTTTTGCCATAGACCTCCAAGGATTGTTCTAGACCATTTGTAGTCCTCAATGCTCATCGTTTCCACTTCTCCAGAACACAACCGCTATATGTACCTAGGTCATTTGCTGGCAGATCTAAGTATACTGTTACACTAAACTATATTTTGAACCAATCACCTTCCATACAGATGAGATGTGTTTCTACATTTGCTTTTTTCCGCTCCCCATTATCGCTTCCAGAATGCAGGCGAACGTGTACCCTGTCAAGGGATTCGTGGAACAGAATTGCCACTGACTATCGGACTATTGTACAATCCCACCTCCGATGCTACAAAACGTCTATCGAATTTGAATAGCGGCATGGACATTTCAATGTTGGTCACCTCACGCGCCTATAATCGCTGCGTCAAATTCATACTCAAGGACATCGGTGGCACAATAAACCAGCGAGAAAAAAAAAATTCCAACGTACAAACGTACTTCTTCCACGTTGAGCTTTTCTCGACTTTGATATTTCCTTTCAACTACAGTACTTGTTTTGAACTGACATCCTGGTGGTTCGTGATTGGCATATATATAGTTCGCACGCACCTCGTTTGCATTCCTTTTCGTACCCCCAAACCACCAGCCACGCCAACGATCCTCCTTGAAAGCCCCCCAGTAAGATCCTCAGCCTTATCCTTATCCATGAGTTCATCTCGTGTTTGTGTTCGACTCGAGATGGCCAACTATTTTCGATACAATACGATACAGCACATCCTCCTCAAAGTGTGAATGTTTTACAAGTACATATGCAGCGTGGACCAATTATTCAACCTCTTGAGTTCAAAGAAGTCAACCGTAAAGTTAGTCTCCGCAGCCATAATTCATCAGCACTCCCGCTAAATGACAGGAGTCTATTCCGATGTCACGGAATTTCAAATGCTACATTGGTATCTACCCAATCATAGCCTACATCAACAAAATTTGAACGACTCCGACTAATGACAAGAAACGCCCCGCGTTACAACCACCAAGTACCTCACCCTGTCAATTACTATGTTAAAGGTTACTTTATCGTCTCTAGCCCAACAGTCGTGGTAATGTGACCGTCAAGTCTCCACGGGTAACAATTTCTGTTATACGACAGCGGCATGGAATATATTTTCCTTTGCCGAATCCGAACTGAGCCCGTCAGCGCAAAGACCCGAAATCATACAGCATGAAAAAGGGATGAACTACATCATACAAACAAACTCGTCCCTTGCAAAGGCACAACATGATTATTGGCCAAGAGAGGAGGAATCGAGATTACGGATTCGTGGCTCGAGTTCCCCCTCTTCATACATCTCAATTATCAAAGTTTCACAACTTTGATGTTAATGGACCTTACCTATCATCGAGATCCACGAATGTATTTCGAGATATTTATCCTCATCCTTGACGTTGATCCTTGAGCTTGACACCATGTAACATCAAAATGCTATAGCTGTGCAACTAAACAACGCATGGAGCCGCCGGCTTACATATACGGTACCATTTCATCCATTTACCTGGCGAAACTCAAATCCTCGAGATTCCAGCCATGCAAAATCCCGACGACAAGGTATAACTATAGGGATAATGTTGGTCGCCGAATGGCAGGTAACGGTACGGCATCACGTAGGTCTTGGGAATCCAATTAAAATCCCGCCACACATCTATCTTTCCCATCTGATAGCAGGCACATTTGCAAAAGTAAGTGAAACCGACTTCTTTATACCCGAGTCCCTTTCAACTTGCTCTCTTCCTAATTTAGTCTCTCCCCAATTTCACAAAAATTCCCTCAAGATATTTCCTCACGCGCATCAGACGTAGCACCAAATACTCGGCGAGTTTTTTTCCTTCTTGTCAAGTGCCGTACGGAGGTATACTGAACGGAACGAACAAACTTCCCGAGTTACAAGTGCCTTCCTACATATATCTCATGGGTCCAGGTAGCACGGCGAGTATGCTGCGCAATTGAGTATATCCATGCATGCATGCATGCATGCAGAAATACCAATATCAGATCCGGACCGAGACCTTCCACAGCCTCCAAGGCGACACTAGAATGCCAAAGCTACTTGGAATGAGTATGGGTATGTCACTTGCAAGTACTTGGTACACCGCCCATTCCTGAGCATGAATCTGGATATTGTCTTTGCATCCGAGCAGCAATGCGGAAAACATCATCGGACCATTTTGAAATCTCGCAAGAAAAGAACAGGCTAGACTCTACATTTAATCTCTCAAATCTCAAATCTCAAATCTCTTCTCAAGATATGTCATATTCATACAGGTACGAGTACGAGTAAGAAGTACAAACACATTGATCTCTCATACCATCATCTGTCAAAGACTTGTATCTCTACCGTACAGTATACCCCGCCATCTCAACCTCACACCAGCAGAAGATTATCCCATTTCAAAACACGAATGGCTCACTCAACTCACATAACACACCACCAATCACAATAACAAAATACAAACAACGTAAACCCAAACTCTCACTCACGATTTCCCAATTTTCTCTCAGCTCCCACCCTCCAATGATCATTGCCCATTGCTCAACCATAATCGATACCTTTCATTCCAGCTCCCAAGTTCAGAGTGTGTAAACATACCACGTACATGCTCTCAAAAGGAACCTCAACCATCCAACCATCCACCCACCCAGCAGATCCTACCCCCATCCTTCACCCTTCACCCTCCAGCCACCAAATATCCACCATTTCCATTTCCCTTTTCCTACCGACCGCCCTATCCCATGATACCCTCCCTCCTACCCCCTTCCCTCCCCTATACCAACCCTACCTATCAATCTCCAAACATCCAATCCAAATCGCCCCATCATCTCCCTCTCATCTTCCTCCGCTTCCCAGGTTGCCAAATCCCAAAATCTTCATCTCCATCCTCATTCTCGATTTTCGATTCTTCATTCCCATCTTCCCATTTCAATTACTACATACAGAAGCATCAGTCGTAATAGCAATCCCCCTCCCTTACCTCTAAAACATATCGACATCTCTACCTTTTGGATTTTTCTAATCGCTTCAGTTCTATCACTTCCTCTATCCAACCATCATTTCCTCCATCCATCCCCTTTCCAGTTCCCCCAAACTTACAATCTACCCTCCACCTTCATTTCCGCCTCCATCTCCACACAATTCCATCCAATGCAATCCAAGAACCCAGATATCCACCACCTCCAACTCTGTCCCCTAATAATCTTCAATCTTCAATCTTCAACTCCCCTCCACCTCTTCCAAACTTCTTCCCCCTCTCTCATCCTCCCTACCTCCCCAAAAGAACTCCAACCCACACAACAAAATACAATAAAACGCATCCAACCCCATCTCCCCAACTACTACATACCTAGTATCTACACAGGTACCTACCCACATCTAAAAATATAACTCGAAACCCAAAACCCAAACCTCTAACTTCAAACAAAGTCCCAAATCCATACACACAGTCCCACCTCTTCAACTCTCTATACTCATCCCCCATTTATTGCCTAGATACCACCATATACCAATTTCTCATTACCTAGGCAATCTCGAGTTTTCCAACTACATTCACAGACTCACTCAGTACAAACCATTATTATTCAACAGAATCCAAATAATAACTTTCAATACGTCCTTTTTATTGCAGTATATACATTCCTTTTTGATGAGAATGGTCATCCATCTTGGTGCTACATATTTGAAGTAACGGTAATGAAGTGAACTAAATTAGCCAAAGAAATTCGTGAAAGCCTTTTAAACCCCTCGTAACCTCGCGAGCTTGTAGCCTCATAAACTCTCCCTAAGTTCACCATCACTTTACCATCTCTCTGGAAATAGCAAAGTATGAAAGCCATCAAAAAGCAACGTGAAAAGCAAAAAGCAAACATTGCAAAGTAAGCAAGCCATATTGTAAATGTACACCAACAAAATAGCACCAGTTATAACAAATCCTCCATCGCAAACTCTGCCAGCCTGTGTCTTATCCATACATCAAATTCTTCCTTCCTTTCTTCGTAACCGTGGTCCACTCGCCATCTTCAACCAAAGGAGAAATAGATGTTCGATCTGCAATAACTTTCTTTCCCTTCTTAGCAGTACCTGTAGTGCTGATTGAGCTGTAGCCAACAACACTCGCCCATGTAGAAGTAGACTTGAGCGTATTGCCGCCATACTTCACGCTGTATCTTACAAGATCATCAATACCCTCTTGTTCCATTTCGTCATCTTCTTCCACGGAACCATCAACAACTCCTGCGGTTTCGAAATACTTGTAGAAATTTTTATTTTTGCCAAGAGCCGTCTTCGAAATACTCTTATATTGTCTTGATTTCGGTCGAATGTGCGACTCGTGTGCCATGGTGATTCTCAAGACCTTATGCTTCTTGACTTTCTGCTCTTCTTGGTCAACCGATTTACCCTTACTTCCATGTGCCATTCCTTTTATATCCTTCCTCTCAACCATCATTTCTGCAGGTATGTCCTCATCCGCAGCAACTTCGGCCTCGTTCTCTGGATCATCTTGCCTGCCGCCTCCCTCTGTCTCATCATCGATCTGATAATTGTCCGGTTCGTCGCCAAAGAGCTCTGCTTCAGTTTTCATCACAATCATCTTCTGACCCGGGGTTATCTTCTGACCAGTTGCCCAGTCAAATTTCTTGCGGTATTCAAGGATATTTCGAAACGCGTTCCGTCCAGCCCATCTCCAGAAACCTTCTTCTCTGATGATAGCCTCTTCCTCTTCCCGCCGGATAACATGCAGATCATTCTGGATGGCAGCAATGAGCTTTCCTATTAATTCTTTTCGGGTTTTCGGATTAAATGGCGGTTTGACATCAATGCCGAGACGATAGAAAATTTCGGGATCAATACCACCATATGGATCGTTTTTATAGGCCGTTTCGGGAGTGAACCTTTGCTGATGACCACGGAGTTTTGATTGCCTTAATGGTGTTACTGTAGTGAGTCTTTTAGCCGCCCTTTGTTGCTTTGGGGTCGGATAGTTGGGGGTCTTGTATTCTTTGTTGGAAACTTGAGTGGGTGGCTGAACCGCATATGCATCATATTCTTCACCCTCCTCTCCGACCGGACCAGCAATTGCAGATGATGTATCAGCATGACGGTTGTCATAAGCATATGTACCTTCCCAAGCACCTTTACTTTCGTGTATTTGACCATGCAATGCCTCGCTAATGCCGTTGATCTCATCTTGACTACAAACAACAACGTTCCTTCTAGTCTTTGCTCCCAACTTCTTTGCTCGCTTCCTTTCCCTCTTTGTTAAAGTCTCTTCCTCGAGGCTCATTTCAGAGATTGCGTCCGTTGCCTCGGAGGTGGTCTCGGAGTCTGTCTGTTTCTTGTCAGCTCCGTCTTTTTTCTTCATCATCTGAGATCCAAGAGATAGATCAGCTTGGTCAAATGTGTTGATCTCTCGAAGAATAGTCAGGATCTCCTTGTGTCGAGTATAGTGCATCTCATCAGACGTGTTGCATCTATTATAATTAGCAAACCAGCCTAGACAGGTATGAAAGTCCATGTAATTACCCAAGACATTCATGAGATTTTCCTTTATTATGCATGCAAGTTAGCATTATTATTGACTATTTGATGGTCTCATAACCATGATCAAGCACCTGGTGGTCAAATAAGGCTGGAAAACTTACCAAGGAAGTGCAGCTGCTGATGAAATCGGAAGCAAGGTTCAACATGCTTACCAAGGCAGGAAGACTTTGAACGAGCATCTATGGGAGTAGTATGGTGAGTAAGTCTACCAAACTTACAGATGATGTCGCTGTAGCTTGATGTGACTTACTATGGAGTGGTGTGGCACATGTTCCGCAATGATGTTCTAAAAACGGTTGTTAGTATACTCTGCGGCAAACATAAGATTGTAGGATTTCTTACCTAAGCCAGGTGATACATCCCATCTATACAAGGTTTTACCTTTATAGAGACGATCTTCGCGAGCAATTATTGCCCAATTCATCATAGCGAGTATTGTATAGAGTAGTTGAACTTGGAATGCTCGAATTTCTTGGTGGCGAGATGTTTGATTGCCTTGAAAACTGTAAGTAATTGAACTTTGATACTGAGCTTGGTCTACGAGTCTCTTTGCTCCTGTGGAAAAATCCTTGTCTTCGACGTTGCGAGTCAATCAAACTATTCCGTGAAAACCAAAAGAATAGCCGACTTATGGGGAAAGTTTGTGAATGAAATGTAATTTGTTGTGGACAAGCAGATCAAAATCGATATCTTTTCGGTCTGATTTTATTAAGAGATGAAAGTCTTCAATGTTGGCGCAAGAGGCCGCTTATATCTTTTGAGGCGCGTGCAGGAGAAAAACGGTATAACTTCCTTGGCGCAATACTAGCATTAAAATACTAGTTGTGAAAAAGAGTTGTAGAATTTTCGAAGGAATTGGATTGCGAGAATGTGAAGAGGTTGTGAGATTGTGTTGCTTACAATATTGATGGAAATTCTGATCCAAATTTTGGAATTGATTGTGAAGCGAACGGTTCACTAGATTGAACTTTAAATAGTAGCGCTTGTGAGGCTAGTGAAAGAAGAAGAGTGCAGATACGTGTTGTATTTCTCTGGATTGTAAGGTTCAACACTGCCGTAGGGTAAGCGGTTGTGAACTGAATCTTGCCGAACACCGGACTCAAGGCTTGTGTAATCAACTTATTAGGCGCGATGAATAAATGAATGAGATGTATCAATATAGATAGAGTGAATATGGCCAGAGTTGATCAAGGAAAGTAAAATTCGTTGTTTTATATCTTTTCGTTCCAATTTCATCCCATAAAATTTTCAATCTTCCGGATCCAATGTTCCTCTCGACGTCGATGTGCCACGTTGGGCTATCAGACTGGGTAGAATTGTTCCTTAGGTGATGACTTCAGTAAACACGAGATATCTCAAAAAAAGCTTTCTGCAGATTAGATGCTTCTGAATGCAAGCCCTTCTCGAGTTCGGATGCCTCCCAAGCGGATAAAAGTATTGGTTGTCGTCCTGGTGGGAAGAACTTGATATGATAGGCCAGATTAAGATTGAGAACTCGAGAACCTCTTTGCTTCACATGTAGCTGCGCGCTATCGATAGGTAATTTACATGAATAGTCGTCGATCTTGAGGGATTGGAGTTGTGAAGATAACGGAAGCGTTGTTTGTCGTCTCGATCGAAGTATAATGTCTTTAGATCTTGAATCAAAAACAGATCTGTAGTAGCCACTCTTACTGGGAAAGGACCGCACAGTACTGACATATGCCTCGGTTGAAGGTATCTAGAAAACTCGAGGGTGACTGTTTGTATATCCTGATTCCTAAAGGGTTACCGAGTGTTCTGTTGATCTCCTGCTATCTCCTTCTTCTCCCTCTCACTTTTGGTCGCGGACAAAGATTGCCTGCTGAATGGATGCTGAGTGTTATGCCCCCAGTCTTTCCTTGACTTTCTTGTTTCTCTTATTTGTAGTTGTAGATAAAGACTGATTGTTGAATAGATAGCGAGTGATATGTTTAATTCTTTCTCTGCCCCTTGTTCGTCTTTCTCTCACTCGAATCGTACATGAAGTCTGGCTAATTAGCGAATGTCGAATGTCGAATGCTGAAGTTGAATATTTCCTCTTCCTCCTATTTCTATGCGAACAAAGGAAGTAAGATCCTGATGTTGTTGTTGGAGTGAGGATCAAGTGAATGTTTTTCCTAAAAGAGAGTTTGTGTCAATTGGTTTCGATGAATGCAGATGGATCGATCAATTGATGAACGTCTTCTCCAATCCTCTTAGTATTTACTTATCAAGAACTCTGTTTGGGAAAAAACGAAAGTAGATATTATAAGATGGTAGAATCAAGTGCGAGAGTGTTCAAGTGGGGATCTCATGCAACAGTCATGCTCGATGGGAAGTTTGTTTGTTAAAAAAGGAAGGCGCATTCCGACTGCTTGAAAGTTCGGATAAGTGCACCACCAGACCTATCTCACTCACTTGCCTCACTGAGTACCTCTCTACAATTCACTACAAACAACATCAAATGAGTACATGTTTCATAAAATGGTTGGGAAACTCATCTTGACTTATCATTAGGTATTCAAAGATACTGCAAAACTTGAACTGCTAGTCGCATACGAAAGTGACAGGATAATGAAGTGTGTGATCGTTTCCATCTGATATTCTCCCTGGTATTCTCTTCAATAGTTCATATCGATATTCATATTCATCCACAATTATCAATTTCATTCTACTCAAATCATTATCACTGAAAACAAAAGGGTGAAAACTTAAACATTGCAAAGCTCATCCACCCAATTTTATCCTTCATCTTACTATATTGTGGTCTCATCAAGACGAAGTTGATTCGCTCAAGTGACATTGGCTTGCTTCCTCCCCTGTTGAATGATGAAAGAAGCTTTACCACTCATATTCAAAGCATGCAGCCAACCTAGAAATCACGGACTACTCGTGCACCTGCCCATGTGTATGGATAATTACGCTGGTACCAATTGACACTACATGATTCAATTAGTATTATAACAGAGGACGAATCAATCCAACTTGACTCACAATGTCTTCCTTCCAGCAATACGAGGATGAGTTGCCCATGATCCTCCAAGGATAATGTTGTGTTTTCCGTCAAAGAAGTCGGCTTTGAACATTAGTTTTTACAAAAATTTCATGGAGCAAAACGGAAGGCATACCAGTGTATGCCGGATATAAAGGCATCGGCTCAAATCCTTCATGTTGAACGAGTGGTGAGCTGGTCCATTCCCAAACTCCACCCATATCAGCTTGCCCTGCGAGTTTATTACCGCCAGAAGTAACGGAGATTGGATGCCAGTTCTTGAATCCCACATTGGCACCTTCAAGGTCGGTGAAAAGCTCTTGAGAGCTTCCACCGACTTGAGACGCTTGTGATGGTGGTGTCTCTTCAACGCCCTCGTTTATTAGATGCCTGTTCATCAATTAGTCTTTGCATATGATTTCGAGCAATATCATTTCTATGTCTACCCGTTGACAGCTGGCACAGTCTTGCCCAGATGTCTCTCTGCTTTCTTGATATTCAAACCGTCAACGTGACTGTAAATACTTCGAGCTTCTTCAACCGTTGGGATTCGCCCCCCCATCCAGCTTGCACATCCGGAAATCTCATCATATGAAGCGAATACAGGCCAATCTAGAGCATACTCGAGTGGCACTGGACCGTAGACTGTTCGAACAGCCTTGTCTTCGAGGTATGCCTTGCTTAACCGAGGCGAAGTTGATCCATTTGTACTGTGACCATTTGAAGTACCGTTGGTGTAGCCATTAGATTGTCGACTTCTGATCCACGAAGCAGGGATCTTGCTCTCATGTGTTTGTTCCAGATAAAAAGCGTACTGTTGACAGTCAGAAATGGTGTCTCGGACGTTTCAGGCGTGGCTTACCTCTTCATTGGTAATTGGTCGTCCTTTGGCTTCAAATGATTGAACCACAACTTCTCGGGGAGGTTTCTCATTATCCCTGTGGTGCATTGTTATATCTACTTTGTGCTTGAATGGAGCGTGTTTAACATACCACCCAAAATGATTATCCGGTCCAGAATTATCCTCGGGGTCATCCAACCCGACTACGATTTTCTGCTCTGGAATAGTAAACCATTCATTTGGCACTCGCAATGTCTTGGCTTTTATTGCTTCTCCTTTAAAGTCTGGCCTAGCGCTAGTGGGTGGAATAGTCTTATCACTTTGCAATAACATGTATAAAAGGGTTTCCAAATGCATAGCTTCATGCTCAAACCCCAACCAAAGTGCGCGACCAAGATTTCTGGGAAGTGCTTGGCTTGCATATAACTTCTTGACTTTTGATCTCACCTTTTCTTGATATGATAGAATCTCCTCAAGGGGTGGCCACTCATCGGGAATCTCGGAATGAGAGTGACATTGCTCGGGATTGTCAACATCCGGATCAATTCCCCTTTCAAAAATTGCGGGATATGAAGAAGGCTCACAAAGCGGCTCTGTAGTAACCTTATTCAGTTGCATGTCCAAGAAAGTCGGAATATGTCCCAGGTAGAAAATGCAAGCATTTCGAAGTTTAATTGGCTTCTCGACCAATTCTTCGTTTGGAATCATTTTTCTGGTGACAGTGTCCCATACTGACCATAGACCTTGCCAATCCCCAAAAGTTGGGGCCGTAGACGAAGCATATTCATTTGGATTCGAGTCGAATGCCATTGTGCTTTTTATTAAGAGGTGCATATCTTCAAGTTTAAGTCAGAACAGTATTCAATGGGATACAGAAAACAGTTGTCCTATTATGGAAGCGCGTTTTGCAATATCATGCCATATTGATGTCAGTCCCATGATAGCAAGTGAATAAGCATGCGCCACAAATCCACGATTGGGAGATACCCCCACGCCGATGGTTTCTGTGATCACAAGACCATGTAAATTGACGTGGTTTTGATGTCTACCTGTAAGATTGCGGATTCGAACCGGAGCTGGGAAAGACAAACATAATGCGAAAACTTACTATATTCATCTTTAGAAGCCGACCATTTTTGAGCTTCCATCATCCCAGCATCTTTCACTAGCTTGACTGTTTCTTCCTCTGAGTATTTCAAACTGACCTCTATCTTTACACGTTCTCCTGATTTGACAAGAACGTCTTTGATGACGATATCTCGATTTGGAGAATAAAAGGCCTGGTGACGACCTCCTTGTGTGTCGTATACATATTCTCCGATGACAGCCCAGTCTGCAATATCAAATATGTTCTCTCCGAGAATTTTGTTCGCCTGGATCAAACCATTCAAGATAAACCTTTTGTAAGGAGTAAGCAAATGATTGTTAGTCGATCGCTATTGATTGCTAGTACATACTTATGGGTGACCCCTTTCTTGTCTTATTATCAAGATTAGCCGCAGGAAAGGCCTTAGAATTGAGTAGACACACCATTATAAGCATGACTATGACAAAATTAGCTAAAGACTACCTGATAATTTTATGGGACTTACTAGATTTTTTCTGGATTACTAGTCGCATCAATGGCAATGAGAAACATATCCGAGGGGCTAAAAACTTCCGCAAAACTCTTCAAAAACGCTGACGCATCGTGCCTTTGAAAGTTACCTGCGCATGGTAAGTTAATTGTTGGTGATAAAAAATTGTAAAGACAAACCAATGCTCGATCCCATCGATACAACGCACTTTGGCCTGGAAGAGTTTTCAGGAAGTTTCAACCACGCGAGACCATCGTCATAAGTTCCATGAAGCCCATGGCACTTCACGTATCTGAATTCTGGAACCTGCTCTAGAGTTCTCTCCAACTCTTTCAATGAAAGATCAAGCGCGTAGTAGTCGACACATTTTCCCGCCGCATCTAAAGCTCGTAGTAATATACTCACCTTGCGTAAATTACTGTTCATTGTTAGTCTTAAAAGCTTCAGACTCTAACGAAAATTACAAACCCGCTTCCCAGCTCAACAACCATAGAGTTAGAAGGTATATTTGCAGCAATACTTTCCGCGGAACGTTCAAGGACATCTATCTCTGCGTTTGTAAGGTAGTATTCAGACAAATAAGTGATCTGTCTCTATAAGTCAACATGATTGATAGATCTCCCAAGTAAACGAATACCGACTTCTTCATATATTTGTAGACCCCGCTCATCATACAGGAGCAGGGTGGGCAGACTCTTGAGACCGCTTTTTGGTCTCAGAGATGCCAATATCTCATCCTTCAACTCGATTTCGGCACCATCATGGCGGATGTCGATGATATCGAAATTCAGATTGTGATGTGACTTGGGCTTAGCTCCCGTGACTTTTGTCACATGAGGAGACCCGCTTGAGACATCCTCGACAGCACCGTTAGAAATACTGGGAATGAGAATAGCCATTCTGATAGAAGAGCTGAGATTGAGGGAGCTTGCAATATGGTATTGGTGTATCGTCAATTCGTTCCGAGTTGATTCAAACTTTGTATTTAAAGGGAGAGAGGTACTTAGAGGAGTGTTATGTGTTTTGTTTACTTGAGGAACTATGGAAGGGAGCTAATATAGTTTCCCAACCTCGCAGAAGCAAGCTAATAGCCGAGGAATTCTCATACTCATGTAAACTTACACAAAGATCTGACATATAGAACCTGTTACAAAGGGAACTAGTGCAGATTAAAAGTTCGGCTTAAAAGACTGCAGGCAGGTCATTATGAAAAATCGCCCGAAAGGGTGAATGGGTGAATGGGGGTTCTCGGGGTTCTCGGGGTCAGTGTTAGTACGAGTACTACATACCATTCGAGAATCGAGCCATTCAACAAATTGCTTGGAAGCTCGTTCTTTCATTTCTTTGTTGAATGGTAAGGATCAATCATATGCAGAATCCCCCCCCACATCGAAAGTAAGGGGTGACCTCATATTACTAAACTAGTTTTCAACCCCGCGGTTTGATATGTTTTACTTAATTGATGCTACTAAAGCCACGGATTTAACTTGTGAACAACATAAGCCAGTGGGAGATATGAGGGAAGGTGTCGGATAGAAAATAACGCAGGTGATGAAGTGTCTACCTAGATCGTATTTACCGTTAGGCGTCTACCGAGGACGATGCTGCATTGCATAACAAATTCTCATCTGCAAGACCATGGGGATGTAGGTTCGTACGAACACTCAATACAGGACCACTACATCGATCATGACTTCTCTTGGACTTTCCGCCTATCCCGGAATATCGTCTCAGTCCATCGCAAGCCAGGATGCTTGATGGTATATAGTTAAGTCATGCCATTGCACAAAAAAATATATCCTCCCTTATAGTTCAGTTTGTCAGGTACAGAGTAGAGTGTAATGCAGCTTCAGCTTGTCATCACATGAGTTAATCGGTGCAAATAATTTCAATTACGGTTCGATTGCATCGAGGCTTATTGGTGCTAGATAGATGCAGCTAGCAGTTGATCGATTAGTCCACCTGCCGTTTAGTATTGCGCATTCAAATAGCCTATCTCGAAACTGTACAGGTCGATGAATAGTCATGACCAGTCGATTTGATGTATTTCCATGAAACCGACCTGGAACTCTCCAGGAAATGCGGGGAGAGGAGCTGGTGACAAATTACTATGTGTAATCAGTGAGCATGGTGTAGCCGTATCATTTGTCTTTAATCTGTTCCTGCAAACATATGAAATGCTCGAATTATGATCTGAATAATCCTGCATGTATCGAAAGATAACTGGGCCGAGTCTGCAGTCGTGTACGGAGTACGAGTATAGCATTTGATATTTGCTTGGATGTCATTCTAAGCATTTTCAGACTCCACTTCGATATGGTCAATACGTAGAAAACACAAGGGTATGGAATCACATTGTAGTGGGGAAAGAAGACAACCAGGTAGCTGTGGCAAGCTGGCTTTGTATGTCCATGACATGTAACAAGATCCCGATACAAGTCTGACTTTGAGGGAGTCTCATGTTTGTAGAGCTGGTATATAAAAGCTATTCAAAAACCGTAGCTGTCGAACTTGAGTGCAAAGGATAGGGAGAATGATATTTCAGAGCCGTTACATAGCTGATCTGATATTACAAGGGCATCGGCAATTTGTTGAGAGCTGAAGAGGGGTATATGATCACTTGACACACGTCTAATAGATTACACGTCCTTATGATATCTGATTCGACATTGATTAAAGAGTGAAAGTAATATTCTGGAGAAGAAGCTTCATCAACAAACCTTGCTGTCCTTCGTCGAAATCCATCTTGATGTGACATCACGTGATTGTACCTAATCTTATCGGTAGTTGGTTGCTCCGTCCGTTTGTTTACTTTTACGATCTTTGCAAACAACGACAGAAGAACCAAATGCCCATGCAAAGCACACCAAAGTACAAAATTTGAGCATAACAATCTGCGCTGTCAACTTCCACTCAATAACAGAGACACAACCACCACCATACGACATGTCTTACAATCCACGAATGAGCCTTGCTCCCAGCTCACAACAACAAAATCGAGGCAAAAAGAAGGAGGAAGAGAGTGATTCATTCATGCGCCTGGTAAGATGACCATATCATGATTTCATTGAATTCCCACTGATCATGGCAGCCTGACAAAGAAATTGCAGGATGTATCAGCGACATAGGTGTACCGTTTACTGCAGCGGATCTGTTAAAGCCCAACCCGCTACAAATTCAAATGATCTTCGAATGGTTCGCAGAGCTGCTTATGAACACGACTCGCGATACAGTTGATCCCGCTATGCGTGCAGCTTCCGAAGATGTGTGTGAAGACTATCCAGATATAGTTCCGGCAGAAACCAGGAATCTCATGGGTTTCTATGTTAGTCTACGCAAGTTGCTATTTGAATGTGGCATTACGGACTTCTCGTTTCAAGATTTATACAAGCCAACACACGACCGCCTGGTGAAGATATTCTCTTATATCATCAATTTTGTACGATTCAGAGAAAGTCAAACACAGGTTATCGATGAACACTTCAACAAGGCCGAGACTACAAAGGTTCGAATCGAGACGCTATATATGGAAAACCAAGAGATGGAAAGCCGCTTGGATGAGTTAAAACGAAACCGCAGGGCAATGGAGGTTCATATTTCAGAAAAAGTCAAGCGCAATGAAGAGTTGAAAAAGAGGCTCTTGGAATTGCGCCAAAGCCAAGACAAAATGGCACGACGATTTGAAGGACTTACTAAAAAGAAGAAGGAGATGACTGCTATTTTGGAGGAGAAAACTGCGGCGACCATCGAATTGAGACAAGAAAGCTCGAAATTGCAGCCATATGTGTCTCAGTCACCAGCTGCCCTGCAAGCATCATTAACAGACTTGAGCAACGCACTCAATACAGACAAGTCGCAAATCGATGCTTTTGATCGACGGGCCCGAGCTTTACAGACTTCGACCGATACATTCACAGTAGTCTCCGCAGATGTGGTTTCGTGTACGAAACTTTTGGAAGAGATTTCGATCGAATTAGCCAAGGAGGAAGATGAAAATGTGAAAGTAGCGAGACAACGAGACGCACTTGGTGAAAGAGGAAACAATGTTCGTGAAGTGGAGAGAACCGAGGCTTTGCTACAGCGACAGTTGTCGAAACATCTTGAACGAACAGAGAAATTGAGAGATGGTAGCAAAGCAAAGGCTATGAGTGCTAAAGAGAGGATGGAAGAACTGCGAGCCGTACATAGAAAGCTCACAGAAGAGAGAAACGAAAAAGGCAGGGAGATGGAGAGGAGGAAAGTAAGGATAGAGCAGACAGAGAAAAAGGTACGCACATTAGAACTTCTGCTAATAGCCTGCAAATTCACTGACACAACACAGATGGCGGATTTGAAAGAAAACATTGAGAATGAAATACATAGTGCGCATGACGAGTTCTTGAAGATGGACTCGCATATTAAGCTATACATCACGGAAATGGAGCAGTCTATTTGATTTGGAGTAAAAGCTTTTGGATTTCATGTTGGACTAGCGATTATGACAGGCATGTTGATGAATTGGTATGAAAGGTTGGGGTGCTGGTGGCGTTTGGGTATACCTATTGATATATGATGATAATGGCTTCCAAGCAAATGTATTCCTTTCTCCGTTTATAGATTACTATGTACGATGATTCCATTCTGCATTTCCGAACTCAAACCATCTTGCGAATATCCGGCCAACCTCTATAGTTCTCCCACTCCAACCGCTATCTTCACCATCTAATCCAGTGCGCCTCACACTTCCATTTAGCATCGGAACATGCTCATCCCACCCCTTCCAGGTTCTATTGTCTCGTCCCATGTCCCCATCCGATTCCAGCCCACTTCTGTCATTAATTCGACCGCCAATTTCCTCATCGCCGTCAGCATCCATTTCCGTTAACTCACTCCTTTCTGTTTTCCTCTCCTTTTCTTCCAAGCACACCACTACCCTCTTGTCCCTTCCACTACTTTCAACCAGGCCTGCCAAACTCCTACTTAACCCCTGCGCACTCCACTCACTCGTATCCCTATGTAAGTCTATCAATCCATATACAACAATCATCGCCCTTTTCCTACCCACTTTATCCCATTTTTGATCTGGCGGAGCTCCGATCTTTGAAGCTGTCTCTGGGGAAAGGACAGAGAGATGGGCGCGCAAATGAGAGATCGTGGGAATATAAATTAGAGATATATGACGTGAGAGGGAGATCTGGTGGAGAGTCTTGATGAGGAGTGAGTGAGAGGGCGTCTGAGATTGCGCGGTGCCGGTCGCCGGATTGGGAGGAGAGGGAGATACGTCGATGGGTGATGGTGGTAAAGTTGGAGTGCTCGAGGTGACATCTGCAAGAAGGGAGGAGATGAATGCTGCACGAGGTTTGCAGATTAAAACAGTGGTAGGATAAGCACCGTGATTCAATATCCAGGTCAGGAGTTCGGAAGGAAGAGCCGGCGGTAGTGTGATATATGAGGGTGACATCTTGAGCGCAGTGTAGTCGTCTTTCTTTAATATTGGGTGCGATAATGATAATCGATTTTAGGGAATTGAGCTACAGTTAGTGCTGAATGTTAATGATCCATAGTATAACGTATTCTCCAACATCTGTACCACGAGAGTTAACTCATCAACAACTCATATGTAGACATTAACAAGTGGTGAACAAAAACAAAGAATGAACAATTCTTCAAGGTTGTCATTACCAAATGATGCAATCCCGCAATTATGCGGAGCCAGATCAATAATAATCGCTTATAGCCCCACCATTACAAGCTCCCATTGATCATGTTCCTCTGTAATCTCCTTACGTTGTTCATGAAATGGAATCCATATCTAGAATATCCAGCTTGCTGGAAAGTGGTACGAACTTTTCTTTTCCTGCTTCACTTCACCCAGACACAAATTTGCGACCATGTGGCACAATGACTTTATGCTAACAACGACAATAGCCAGGGAACTCACACTCGATGCCGCGCAATCTGCTAGGAGCTCTCGAGGAGCGGGGGCGCTGAAGACGTTGCCGCCCCAGCAAATTAAGAAGTTGTTGGATAGTAGACATGACAGGGAGGTCTTGGAGGGGTTGAGGAAGGTCATCTCTGTATGTTTCCCCGATTTCCTTGCGCATCTTTGCCAGGCCAACATGGGGCTTGGGCTTGAAGGTCGAGACATAAGCTCTAACAGAACCTGCAGATGATGTACCGTTCTCAACCATGCCTGACATTCTTCTCCTCCGTCGTAAAGAACGTTGCATCCCCAAATATCGAGATCAAAAAGCTGGTTTACATCTATCTCCTAAACCACGCGGAGCAAGAACCGGACCTGGCCCTCCTCTCCATAAATACGATTCAAAAGTCTCTCTCTGATGGAAACCCACAAGTTAGGGCTCTTGCTCTCAAAACCATGTCTGGAATTCGTGTGCCAGTTATTAGTCAAATCGTATCGTTGGCCATCAAGAAGGGGCTGGGGGATATGAGTCCCTACGTTAGAAAAGCGGCAGCTTTAGCTATCCCGAAGTGCTACAGATTGGATCCAAACACCCTCCCACAGCTACTAGATTACCTGTCGACTTTACTGGGCGATCGACAATACTACGTAGCAGGTGCAGCAGTAACTGCATTCCTCGAAATCTGCCCGGAACGTCTCGATCTTATTCACAAGCATTACAGAGGTCTCGTAAAGAAACTAGTTGACATGGACGAGTGGTCACAAATGGCCACTCTTCACTTAATGACTATCTACTCCCGAAGATCCTTCCCAAAACGCATTCGGCGCGTTCGCAAAGCCACCGCTAAAAGTAACGGAAATCAAGAGAACTTCTACGGTGATTCCGATGCCGAACAAGAAGAAGAAGATACCGAAGAAACCAGCGAAACGATCCAGGTTCTCGATCCAGATCTCGAGCTTCTCCTCAAAAGTATCAAACCACTTCTTCAGTCCCGCAATTCTGGTGTCGTGGTAGCAGTATCCCGCTGCTATGTAGCTCTCGGAACACCAGACTATATAAATCACTGCATCGGTCCTCTTATCGCTCTTCTACGGGGCCCCTCTGATATCCAGCACATAGCTCTTTACAACATTGTCTCTGTATGTCTCACAGGCCCCGAAGCATTCGTAAAATACGCTTCTCATTTCCTAGTCCGATCAACCGACCTACCGCAAGTATGGGAACTCAAACTCGAATTGCTCACCCTAATTTTCCCACATTGCGATTCCTATATCAAAAGTTTAATACTCAATGAGCTGGAGCATTTCTCCCGCGGCTCGGACCGGGAATTGGTGAGAGAATCAGTGAGGGCTATTGGTCGATGTGCACAAAGTGATTCTAGAACATCCGCAAGATGTTTACGGTTACTGTTGAAGCAAATCACAAGTCTAGATGGTAATTTGGTCGCGGAGTCACTTACTGTAATCAGGCATCTTATACAACAAGATCCAGCATCTCATACACATACCGTTATTCGCCTAGCCAAGAATCTAGACACAGCTACAAACCCGCGGGCTCGAGCTACTATTATTTGGCTTGTAGGAGAGTTTGCTGGCATTGATGGGGAGAATAACATTGCACCAGATGTTCTTCGAATTTTGGCAAAGGGCTTTGCTGATGAAGCAGAGCCTGCAAAGTTACAAATTGTTCTTCTAGCTGCTAAAGTCTATCTACATCATTTAAATCGGACTACGCCAGAACCAGAATCTATCAAACCTTTATCACCTCCCCAGACTTCCCACGATTATGCCGGCATTGAAGAAGGAAATGAAGGATTTGCATCCCTTGACTCACCTCCACAAACCTCCTTCTCTCCACCCCCCGAACCAGAATCTGAACCCGATCATCCCATCATTGTTCTCTGGAACTACATCCTTCTTCTTGCACGCTACGATACGTCATACGACCTCCGCGACCGTACCCGTCTCTACAAATCTCTCCTCGCAATTCCCTCGTCCACTCAACTCGCATCTCTCATGCTTCTTGCCCCTAAACCCATCCCACACACACCCAGTCCCTCTGAAAGCCGCACTAGCTTTACTCTCGGAAGCGCCAGTCTCGTGGTTGGCGAAGAGGGCGGTATGCATGGACTAAAGGGCTATGAGGCACTACCTCCTTGGGTAGAAGCTGGCTCCGAGCCAGACCCCTCGTTACGAGAACCTGATTCCGCCCGGAATGAATATGAGGAGAAGAAAGTCATGACTGCAGGACAGATATTAGATAGTGCGGTGAAAGATTTCAGGCCCAGTGTCTCGCCATCCAAGGCGAACGGATTCAATGCTGGTGGCTCTGGCTCTGGTACGGCTCCTGGAAAGGAGAAGACTCTTGATGACTGGCTAGCCGAGTCTGAGCAAGAGGAAAGCGAGGAGGAAGAAGAAGAAGAAGAAGAAGACGAAGACGACGAAGAATCTGGAGAAACAGAAGAAGAGTCCGGAGAGGAAGACTCTGATGAAGCAGAGGAGGAAGAAAGTAGTGATGACGATGATGAAGAACACGATAGATTAGTCAAATAATTGATATCCTGCCGCGTGCGACTGGCTGCGCTACCCTCTGAAAATACAAACATGGCCGGATGGAATGCCTTACACTAGGAGGCTTACTGTTACAACAAATCTTACACAGGCATGAGATACTTAGTCACAACAAAATTAGAGTAATACCAATGAATTTAAATGCAAAGATCATTGTTTGATAAAAAGCCAGGGACAAAAAGAAGCCCACTAGCATTACTATTAGCCAAAGCAGGTAGCTTGGCATTAAAATACTACTGAATTATCCTGCTCTCCTACAAGACTTTTGAACCTAGCATTCGCTCTGAAAAACAAGTAGCCTTGAGCAGAACGAACGGATTCCCACTGAAGAGTCTCCAAATAGAATAAATTATCTAGGTTCATTCACTCCATCGGCTCTTGCAATGCCATAAAATGCATTGATTTATGCGCAATGAGGATTGTACAGAAAACCATCAACTGAAAAGGCATTCCTGAACTCCATCTCAAAAAAAAACCGAATAACGCCGCCCCATGCATGAAATTTTTATTTATACAGAGAATATCAACAGAGCCATGATGGACAACCGACTACTTGAAGGTTTGTTAAATCCAAAAGGCTCTTTTGCAAACTATATGCGGTTTACCTGACCAAGACCAGCCACCAATTATCGAGGGGTGATGATAGGAATTCAGCTACCAACGGCGACTGCGAAATAATATATTAGCACATGTAGATAATAACAAGCTTCAAACCTTACCCATAAGCTGCATCGACCACTGGTGGAGCTCTTTTGAGTTTTGGAGTGACTTCCTCAGATGAACGCGACAATTCCTTGCTCTTCTTGCCACTAATTATTCGGACGATTTTTCGTGGTTTCGCGGGTTCCTTCTTTATCTCCGCAAGGATTTCTAATGAAGTGGGACTCAAAGGAGAATCCAGTGCAGCATTTCCCTCTTTGTCCTTCTTCCCGTTTTCCTTATCATTGTCCGTGTGATCAGGGGGAGGTGGTGTTGTCGTAACATTGTGTTCTGGCCACGGATCGAACATAGGCTCCTCTTCAATTGGTGGTGGTGGCGGCGGGGGTATGTTTTGGTGATTGAAGCCTTGGGGTCCGGAAATTGAAGGGCGAGCATTGGCATAGCTTGGATCTTGTCTAAAAGGTTGACCTGCCATGTTAGGATTGAAAGGATGTCGCTGGGCATTATAAGGCGGTTGTGCATTGTAAGGAGGTGGTTGAGGACTAAAAGAGTGCTGCTGGGCAACAAATGGAGGTTGTTGAGCATTGAAAGGCCGTTGCTCGGCATTGAACGGTGGTTGCTGGTTGTATGGAGGCTGCTGAGCGTTATAAGGAGTTTGGTGTGGATTGTAAGGAGGTTGTTGAGCATTGAAAGGAGGATGCTGAGTATACGGAGGCTGCTGCTGAGCATTAAAAGTGGGTGGTTGGTTGTGTGGAGGCTGGTGTTGAGAATGATATGGCGGTTGCTGAGCATTGAAAGGAGGCTGTTGAGCATTGAAAGGAGGATGCTGAGTATACGGAGGCTGCTGCTGAGCATTGAAAGTGGGTTGTTGGTTGTGTTGGGTATTTTGAGGATTGTAGGGAGTTTGCTGACTTTCATAAAGAGGTTGCTGGGGACTGTAGACAGGCTGCTGGAGATCCTCAACGGGAATCATGACTGGAGGTCCAGGCTCAATCGGTTTCGGAGCACCAGAAACACCCAAAGATGCCAGTAACGCCTCAGTTGGGTCGGCACTCTCTCCCGCCTGAGGAGCCCAGATATCGTCTGGCGCTTCAGCAAGAGGTGGGGAGTTGTTCAATGCATTATCACCACAATATCTAGGCAAGCCATCCGCAGATTTGAATGACTGGTCATCAACCTTTTGGCGTTTGTTGTTTTTCAGGGTAGAAATATCAGCTTGTAGTTGTTCATCGATATCATCTTGGTCCGTTGGGCTTGGCTTACGCTTACCGGTGCGCGGTATATTTGCAGCGGTGGACTTTCGAGTTACAATAGATACATGTGCATCGCCATGCCTCGATTCCATAAAAGCATCAAGTTCTTGAAAGGATACTGCATCATCTCCAGCCTTTAGCTCCTGGAAAGTTGGATCTTCTTGTAAGTATGGCCATTGAGGTGTCTTTCTGACGCTCTGTCTATACTCCTTCAAATTTTCTCTTCTTGCATACCTTGAAATTGAGATGGTTGATTTCTTGTCGATGAGAGGAACTGGAGTCATATCAAATCTATTAGCCAAAGGCTGGGCAAGTGCAACAGTTTCGTGTCTTTGGCCTGCAGCTTGGAAGATCTTTTTGTAGTCCCAATTGAACTGCTTTTCCTCGTCAGTCCGGTGACTGTCTTCCTTTAGAACGGCTGGTTGACCATCCCATTCAGATATGTTATCTCTTGAGCTGGGCGAGCCATAGGGTGTACTCGCCACACTTGAAGCTCTCGAAGGTATTGGTGCCTCTGCGGGTTGAGAAGAAGCGTTGGAAGGGGCAGTGAGTGTAGTGTTTTTGGATCGAGGAATGTACAGCCCGCGTTTATTCAACTCTGGGGACGCCATCGATGGATTCTGGGATGCCGCCCGACTTGTACTCTGCTGAGGCTGCTGAGACCCCATCCGACTTTCCCCTTGCTGGGCCCACATTCGACCTTCACTTTGCTGAGATTGTTGTGACTGGGACCTCCTGAACTCACGGTTATAGCCAGGATTTGATTGCAATTGGCCTTGCTGCTGTTGTGGCCCATTGGTAGGAGACGCCAGTGGCGGTGAACCAATCCATTGCCCATGATTTGGCGTGCCGTTGCTTTGATGAGGTACTGACGAACTTCGGCTATTGTAACCTTGATTGTAGCCATTATTTTGAGGCTGGAAGGGGGTGGCTGAGGCGGATGGGGGAGGATACTGTAGGCCATTTTGGCTGTGAGCTGGTGGCCCATACTGTTGTGGTGAATTAGATTGGGGATGCTGATTATATGGAGCTTGGTAGCCTTGAGATCCATGTTGCTGTTGAGATGGATGATTGTAATTAGCTCCACTGGCAACTGGTTGTTGATTAGGATACGCCTGTTGTGGAGGGCCCTGTTGCTGTGGATTTGGTGTGGAATGTTGCTGATACAGCGGACTCGGAGCAGATGGCATTGGCCCATTGAACTGAGAATTTTGACCAGGGTCCGTAAATTGTGACATTGGAGCACTTCCAGGGCCAGCATAGGGAGCATATTTGGAACCCATCTGACCATTTTGAGCGTTTGCCCACTGTTTTGTTTGGGGTGGTGCACCATATCCATTGACATTTGTTGTCTGAGGAGCAACCATAGCACTTGTCATTGTTAGCCCAACTCTTGGCAAAAACAAAAGGTACGAGAAGAAAGTATCAAGATATGGAAACAACTCATCACTCACGCTTGACCACTTTGATTTTGATTCGGACAATCCTTGACGTAATGCCCTTCTTGACCACACGTGAAGCATATTGGAAGACGAGATGTCTTGTTAGGTACAGGAGCATTGTAAGAATTGTTGTAGTTTTGAGGTGGGCCAGTGTAATTATTGTTGTAGTTATGTGGTGGTCCTTGAGGACCACCTTGAGACCAATTTCCCAACATAACGGACTCTCCTTTATACAAAAAGAATCCTATTTTACTACCAAATCATCAATTGGTCGGGGGATGAATTTGCGTGACACTGGGTTGAGCTTGAGTCGAGAAACCAAGTTGATGAAATACCGGTAACCTGATGATAGACAAAGTATTCTGACGCGACCGAAAAGACGAGGAGCAATATGAAGTTGAATATGCTTATTAATGAATTCTTGTTATCTTGGTCCTTGTGGTTGCGATAATGGAAAGCATCGATGACTTTGATGGATAAGAAAAGGTTTTCTTGTTGTCCGCGAAATTGAAATGGATGTTCAGAGTGATGTGGTGCAACGGTACTGTAAAAAAAACATGGACCGTAGTCAAGGATGAACTGTTGTATGTATGTATGTAGCCCCCCGGACTCCCCAGTAAATAAATCAAAAGGAAGTACTATTTAAGTACCTTGCTAGGGTCACTATTCCCAGCCCAACAAATCCACATGCAAAAGCGATTGGAAATGGAATGGATAGAGAAGAAGTGTAGCAAAAAAACAAATATAACGACTTCTTTTTTTCCTTTTCTTTCTTATAGTTTGATCATGACTTGACTCGACCTGCCCAAATGAATGTGTCTGAAGCTGGAGAGAAGCGAAGAAGAATGTTTCCTTCCCAGAAGTACAGAGGGAGTAAGTAGGTAACTTTGTCAATAGTTATTGTATATCAGCAATTGTGAATATGAATTCGAGTGCCCTTCTTGTTAGTCTCTTTACTGCAAGGAAAGGTAGAGGGACAGATGGAAGAACCCGTAGAAGAAGGGTTGTGGTCGATATGAGGGAGGTATTATTGATTTATTGACTGATATTGGAGGAAATGCAAGAAGTACAATATTTGGAAGTGAATATGGTAAATTGTAATGGTAATTGTGATTGCGATGAAAATCAGGAAGGAAAAGGGCAGCAGTTTGGGAATGGATGCTAATATTTGATTGCACTTGGATGAAAATGCGAGTAGAGAGAGAGAGAGGCCAGAAGAGATATTACCCTCCTCCGTAGTAAATTTCCTATGCAGCTAGGTACTATGTAGGTATCGACAAGGGTACCGGTTGGAAAGATCACGCTAATTTGAACGATTCATTCATTCCACTAGCTACGGTGAACCTTTGAGACTAAGAGCTCAATGTGCATGAGGCACCCAGGCACCCAGGCACCCAGGCACCTTGAGGCCATCTTAAGGCACCCTCAGGCACTCATCTGGCGCCACGACTCTCGAGCTACTAGAGGTCCTAATCAGTCAACGTACAAGGCCTGCCGGGGAGATAGATAGGTACGGAAATGAACCAGGTACCTAGGTATATTCACAACCAACGTAATCTTGATAATCAACTTTGTATATGTTGCCCGCCCGCTTCATATATTTGTTGATAAGTAACAATCTTTTTTATTCTTTCTTTACCTACCAACCAGCGTTTTCATCTTTGCTTATGACTTGAATACTTTCTTAAGCGACCATGTTGCTTTGCCAAAATACTATTCTCCAGAAAATCACAGGTGGTATCAACTGTCATTCTTCCACATTAGATTTCGGTGGCGCAAATCGGAGGTGATTACCTCTGAACCCTTTTGCAATATGCCCGGTCTGCCATGTAAGAATACCGCGAACCTTCTGAACTGACAAGAGGCCATGCTGATATGTATCCATAGCTTCCGTCGATCTCGACCAATGTATAGAAAGTCTCTATAAGAAAAATCTCCTCGCCGAATCTGTTATTGAAGCAATATGCGCGAAAACGAAGGAACTGCTTATGCAAGAGAGTAATGTGGTTCATGTGTTAGCACCTGTTACTGTAGTGGGAGATATCCACGGCCAATTCTTCGATTTGATAGAGATATTCAAGATTGGGGGTTCTGTCCCGATACAAACTACTTGTTTCTAGGTATGCCCCGCATTCCGACTCCGCACACATTTCCCCAATGCTAATATATGATCTTTCTCTAGGGGATTACGTGGATAGAGGCATGTTCAGCGTCGAAACGATTTCTCTTCTTGTTTGTCTTAAACTACGATACCCACATCGCGTTCATCTAATACGAGGAAACCATGAGTCGAGGGGAGTCACTCAGTCGTATGGCTTCTATACGGAGTGCTCCAGGAAATATGGCAATGCAAATGTATGGCATCATTTTACGGATATGTTCGACTTCCTTACATTGAGTGTGGTCATCAATGATCAAATATTTTGTGTTCATGGAGGTATGCTCCCCACCAAAATGCTACTTGGCTTCCCTTGTCCTGAAAGTCCTCACCTATTGACAATTATCTGCAGGTCTCTCCCCTTCAATACACTCTATCGACCAAATAAAAATTATAGACCGTTTCCGCGAAATCCCCCACGAAGGGCCTATGGCCGACTTAGTCTGGTCCGACCCCGATCCCGAGCGCGATGAATTCTCCCTCTCACCCCGCGGTGCGGGTTACACGTTCGGCGCGCAAGTGGTGAAGAAATTCCTCGAAGTGAATAAGATGTCGCACATATTGCGAGCCCATCAACTTTGCCAAGAAGGATATCAGGTTCTCTACGACGATCGATTGAGTACCGTGTGGAGTGCGCCCAATTACTGCTACCGATGCGGGAATATGGCAAGTGTCCTAGAAGTCAGCGACACTGGGGAGAGGTTCTTCAATGTATTTGCTGCCGCGCCGGAAAATGATCTACACAAGGGAGAAATGCAGCAAGCAGGGCAGGACAAGACGGCTGATGGCAATACGTTGCCAGATTACTTTTTGTGATTCGAAAAGAAAGCCGGCACGTAGACACTAGATCTCATTCTTTCGACACGCTACTCCTCAATCAACAATCACTCCCGCCATTCGACATCATGGAGGCATTTATTAAAAAAATATCCGGGGCAGCTGAGACAAAGTTTTCGAGAACCCGCTGTGCGCCAGATTTTCCTGCCAAGCAAGCAGTTGATGCAAATGAGCAATGTCCATTTTATTCCATTGTATACATACACGACACTGCACTCCAAAAACTGGATTGTAGTCATGATATGATGTATGTCATTTCACACCTACGAATTGCGTTTTTGTAAATCAAAATTCCATAGAAATACGAGAAGATACCCATTAATGGATGCAAGGGCAGGACCAGTCATGTAACATGATTCTCTCCATCCATTTAAACACATTAGATACGAAATACAATGAGATACGAAGTTCTATACTTGAGGAAAAGTGAATGAGTCTTTTGAATTTGAAATAGTGTATGCGCGCCTGTAGGGAAAGAATGCCTCCAAACAACCACAGTATGCTTGGGTACTTTCTCAAATCCACATCTCGTTCGTTCATTCAATCCAGATCATGTGCATGATATGACCAAACATCTTCGTTTCATAACTCATCTGATCATCCGTCCATAACTTATCTCATTATCCACCCATAACTTTTTTCTGTCCAAAATATAAATTTGCAAGGAAAACAAATAGGGAAGAAAACGATCGACTATACTCCTAGCCACAACACAATAGCAAAATCGTCCAAAAGCTAGCCGTCCAAATCGCATGCGCGCAAAGGTATGTCGAAAACTTGTCATGTGAGTGCTATGCTATGTGAGGATTGGAATAGGTATCAAAAGAGGCGAATGCGATACGTCAGGCGAAAAGCAGAAGATCAAAGGTGAAGGAAGTAGATGGGAACATCTACCAGTCCTTGGCAATATCGAAAGACCACTCGAATTCAAGATGCTTCTTCTTGTCATCATCGACGAAAGTAGAGATGGCGGTGTAGTGACCTCGGGCCATCATTCCACTTGGGGCATCCTCGTCGGCGACTAGAGTGTTTGGTCAGTTGGGGAATTTGAAATAAGTCTAATATGAACATACATCGCTTGGTGTGAACGGGGTTCTTGTCAGTGTTGGGTGCGTAACTTCCCTATTGGAGAGTCAGTTCATGAAACATAGTGTAAATATTGACGTGCGCGGAAGCACTTACAATCATCTCTTGCAATTTATCGATTCTGATACCCTTGCGCTTGATGACTTGGACATATTGGAGACCACTCAAAACGTTGTGTTGCACTTTGAAAGTAGCTGTAAGGTTGAACTTGGAACCTTCCTTGATCTTGAAAGGGTGATCCTTCAAGGTCTTGAGAGCATCAGGAGTAGAAAGCTCGAGCTTGACTGGAGGACGGCCTTCGGAGTTCATCTCAAGAGTGAGAATAATGCAGTCACGTGGATCTGTTGGGTCACTGAGGTCCTGTCCACCACCGCCAAGTCCAAGGGATTCCTTGTAGCGTTGAAGAGACTCATCTTCAGCATCTGCATTGAAATATAGAGTCAGCAAAACCTAGATGGCTATGATATATATCACGGGATGGGCCTTTGAGAAAGCAATGGGGTTCTGCTTGCACAGTAGATAATAAGTAGATAAGAGACGTGGTAATATATTATCTCAATATAAGTACTTCCTTCGAACTTGAGACCATTCGATGAACTTGAATCAAGTGGGAAGGGAAGCTTCTAGCCATTGTCCTGGTCTAATCGGGAAAGCTATGAGGAGTGAAAATATAGTGTTTTGGTACTCCCATAGTCGATGTGGCAACTCAAAGACGCTTGCAACAATTCTTGTACAAACTATTGCACATGATCAAGTTGCCGTGATCAGATAGACTCCAGATATCAAAAGAAATGTTATTTCGAATGAGATCTCCTTCTGTTATCTCTCATAGTTTTCTCCAGACCGCTTCGACTGCGGGGTATAGCTGGAGGGGTAGACTTGACTCCAACTAGGTCAAGAACATTCCCAAAAGCATTTGCTAAGTAAAACAGGAGCTGAAAATGATCGCAGGATCTGAAAAGCAACAACGAAGACAGGATGAAAGGGGTTTCAAAACGTACCCATCTTGGAATACTCATCCAAAGTCTTTTTCTCCCCCACCTTGAATCCATCAGTCGTCTCGGGCAAGAGCTCGTTTTCTTGTTGGTCGGCCATCTTCGATATGTTGTAGTAGATTTATAAGGGTAGTAGGTGTAACTTGGAAGAATGGATAAGAAAAGGAAGATCTGTAGGGAGAAGTCCAAACACAGAAATTTAAAAGCTGTTGAGTTTGTGGATGCTGCACTTTTGATACAGCAGCGTTGGCAATCGAGATGCAGCTTAGTGGGGCTTGAGCTATGATCCTTGCTAACCCACGGAGGTACAGTAGTATGCAAGAATCTCGTGACAATGAGGATATGTTTCTTTCGAGATTATTATGTGAAAGGAAGAAGAAGCTGTTGATGAAAGATTGGACTGAAGATACTTTTGAAAGAAATGGATGGGAGATAGTAGTATTTGTTGATCAGCGGATGTTTCCAGGTAAATATAAGAAGTACGGCAAGATCATGTCATGTGATATATTAACATTCATCATAAAAGGGGCATCCCCGTCCAATCAATCAATCAGCCAGACATACTGGACTGGTTCCAGAAGCTTTCCCCCCCGTCTCCAGTGTCTCCTTTTCCATGGTTGACGTTCAAGCCAGATAGCTCTACCTTGGTATAATGATCACAAGAAGAATAATAATATGTCAATAGAAGCATAGCACGAACTTTATACCTGGTTGTCATCGGATAGGCAATAGACATAGCTATAGCTAGGTAGGTAACGGTCGCTGTCAGTACCTATCTAATGCCAGTATCTAGGTAGCTGGAACTGTAATACATTTACGTCGAATTGTAGTAAAAGGATACTATATGTTGACTACTATCTACTATTTATTATCTATTATCTACTATTTACTATCTACCGCTATTACCTCCTACCTACCACTATTCTCTCCTATTACCTCCTACCTACCACTACCACCGACTACCTACTACCGACTACCGACTAGATACAGTGCTCGAAAGTAGGTAAATAGAAAGCATTTCATTCTTCGCACCTATGTAGATTTATTCCATATATCATTATTATTCTGTCCAACTCACCGTGCATCTTGGTGTAGTGAATTGTAAATGTACACACGACATATATACCCAGATAGTTTGGAGAATGTTACGGTACGAGGGTACTTGATGTCTGTCATCGAGAAAGCCGCATATGGAAGAAAGGATGAAAGCTCCGACTCTGGAAATAATGTTGCAACGTACATACACCGTACATACACCGTACATACATACATACATACATGCTCGTACATATATATCACTGATCATTCCTCCCCCCCACCCCAGCAAATCCACTTTGCAGGGTCAGAAAACCACCAATCCTCTTCTCAAAATGTCCCAAAGCCCTCAGGGATCGCAGAATCTCCCACACTGACTTTGTATTCTTTTACTTTTATACCATTCCCTCCCTCCACTTACAATTAATCCTTGATCATAATTCATCCATTCACGTCTGCATTCACAATCACAAATTCATCATCTTGCATTGCTTCCTGCTCGTTGTTGAATTGAATCAGTCTGGGGTTACTCCGATTTAAGGCGCACATTTTATATCGCGTACTTAGGTATATGTACTGCGATTTTTGGCGGGAATCTCCAATCAATTTTCTTCGATAACCTTTCTTTCCTTCCGTGTCCCGTCGCGAACAAGATCAAAGCTTCTTCTTCACACCGGATACTCCTTCCTTCAACGCCCAACGCGCAACATCTACATCAAGAAGGCGTTGATCGTGTTAAGTGTTTTTCATGTACGTTCCCTCTTTTTGTACTCCCCTTGTTGTATCAATTTGAATCAAAAGATCAACAAAAATGTGTGCTAATCGCGTAACCACGAAACAGAATTACAGTTTCTCCGAAATCTTCTTAACGAAACCTTTAGATTTATTCAATCTAATATTCCATCCGACAATCTTCTATCCGCATCCTTTCTAGCGTGTTATCACTGAGCCAGTTACTATCGCAATGCCTGCCTCGCGACACTTACCCGCAAAGGTCAATCCTTTGATGACCTCGGAAATTCCAGCTTGTAAGGCGATGCGCCAGTCGCGTACGTGGTTGAGAACCAGAGCTAACAATTTCCGCAGATGAAACTTTGGTCGCCAGAAGAAGACTGGGCCAGACAGATCTTGCTGTGAAGACCGGTCAACTCAACAAATCGAACTCTACCCAGCCCAAGAATTTGGGAACTTTCGATTATGCACACTTACGTGCTCCGCTGCCCAAAGGCATCCACAGCGGCATTTTCAAGCCTTCGCCCGCCTCGTATTTCTTGATGCGCCGTAGCAACGATGGCTTCATCAGCGCGACCGGGATGTTCAAGGCTACCTTCCCCTACTCGGAGACTGCAGAAGAAGAGATGGAACGCCGATATATTAAGAGCTTGCCAACAACCTCTGTAGATGAGACCGCAGGGAATGTTTGGATCCCACCCCATCATGCGCTTGAGCTTGCAGAGGAATACCAGATCTTGCCTTGGATCAAAGCTCTGCTTGACAATGCGCCAATTGAAGTAAACCCAACCAAAGACCAAACACCCAAATCAATTGCGCCCCCTCCAAAGTTTGACTTTAAAGATCTCGCTCCAATTCCCGCACCAAAGCTACAACTAGATGAGGCCCCTCAAATCTCTCCTCCTGAGGCACTAGCTGCACCAACTACCAAAAGTGGCCGCCCTCGTCGATCCGCATCACCCAGCAAGTATGCAACTTCATCTCCACGCAAGATCGCAAGGGCACGCAAACCAAGTGCTAGACTAGCAAGTTTGGAACCTGTTGCAGCTGCTACTAATAATGTACTCGAACAAGTCCTGGAAAACGGAGTAGTTGAGGCCGAAGGGAAAGGAGATTCTACAGACTCCACAGCTTCCCAATCAATTCAGGAGCAAGTCGAGGAGCAGGTTAAGGAAGTTCAGGAATTCAAGGAAATTAAGGAAGTTAAGACGCAAATTGAGGAACCAATCACGGAGGAATCAAGCGAAGAAATCTCGGAGCCAAAGGTCAGAGTCAAGGTTGATACTGATGTCGAAGTTAATGGCGACATCGAGACCACTCACACTCATGTTCAGGTTGAGATGCCAGCTGGTACACCAGATCTCCCTCTCCCAGAGGATACGGAGGCTATGATCGCCAAGGCGAAAGAAATGGTAGAGGCTGCTGTCAAGCAAGACGCCGGAATACCAACTCGCTCGAAGAGAAAGGCGGAAGAGTATGAGGAAGATGATGAAGAGGAAGAAGCTTTGGATGTGGGCCCAGCTAAGAAGGTTAAGGTAGCAGCCGACTTGAAGAAGGAGAGAGTTAAGACCCGGGCTTTGATTGGTCTGAGTGCAACTTTGGCAATTGGGTAAGCCCCCTTCCCACTTCATTAATTTTATACTTGGTGCGACGCAGTACTAACATAAATCGCAGTGCAATGATTCCATATGTATTTGGCGCATTTTAAAGTGATCACGCTGGACATGGGTTGTATATTGTTATGTTTTCTATTTCATCTCCTGTTTATTAGTCGAGGGGCGTTCATGGCAGGGACACTGGATTTTCGGATGACCTTGAAGACCTGTGGAAACTTTTGCTGGATCACTACCAAGTAAAAAGAATATTTTTCAAAGTAGATATTACAGCACTAGAAGCCACGACGACTTTCTGGGAGTAAACGCGGTGACGTTTCTTCCTCATACCATCATTGTGTTCTGATAGGCAAAATCAAATTAATTTGACCATGGGTTTCAATCAGTTCTTGAGATTCACATAATGCTGGGTAGGTGGATGTTGGTTCGTTCCTTTTCAATTGGTGAAAAGGAAAGAAAGGTCCTAATTGGGAAGTATCACCATCGTGCCTTCCCTAGGTGCTAGGTGGGTGCATTTCTTTTTCGCGACCTTTGAATTCTTATTTCTCGAATCTTGAACGCCCTTCCTAATTAATCCATTCTTCTATCTCTTTCTTCACTATATCCAAGATGTAAAAATGTGATCATAATTATACTCACCATCATTTCTACCTACAGTGAGGATTGAGCATCAAAAGGGTCTTTCATATGGCCACAGTCTTGCCATGGCACAACCAGAAACACCTGCAAGCGCATCGCGACATTCCATCATTTCACCTCTTGCAGGTGGTATGACCACCGCTCAATTGGAACAAGTGTTACAGAGAACTCCTCAAATGACTAGATTCAATCCTTTGAGAAGACATCTTCGGGCACCTAAAACTCCCAATTCTCGCATTTCCAAAAGTGAAATCATCGCTAGTGATGACGAAGCAGCGACCACATCACCGTCAGCCCCGATCGTGCAACCACCGAAATCTCTAAACGGTGAAGCTATAAGAGTTAAAGGTAAAGAAGTGTCTGTAGCTATCGGAGGGGATGATGTTGATCAAGGGACTTCAAAATTCATTGACACTCTGCATCCTTCCTCTCATGAAAATGTTTCGCGTTCGAAGCAACTAGGTGAGACATTGCCCAAGAGGTTTTTGAGAACAATCGCGAAGCGCAAAAAGTCCCGGAGGGAGCAACGTATCGCATCCAAGCCGGGTACTATACTCTCTGCCGAAGAACCATCGAGCAAATCGTCTCATGGAAAGAAAGGCGAAGAGAAAGCAATCTTAACCTCCAGTGGGTCTGGCCGCCCGGCTGAATTGAATAGACTTTTCAAGAATCCTGACCCTCTTAGCGATGAATCATCCGATGGCAGTCAAGAATCTACCAGTCTTGAAGAACTCATTCGAACAACTTCACGCACATTCAATTCACAGCCTTCTAGTGATCATGGAACCAGGGACATCAGTTTTTCATTTGGTGCTCCGCGGCTGGTTCGACGAACAATTATGGGCTCACACAAAAAGGTCAATAACAGTAATAATCTCGATGACCTTGAACTCGAGATTCTTGGATTGCCTGATGCTACTCATTCATCTGATTGTACGCCTGGCCCAAGCGACTCACAGGATGACTTCATTGACCACCATACATCTCAAAAATGTGATCGTCCAAGGCCAATGAAAAGGCAGAAGAAAAGGGTGAACAAGAGACCTCGAAGACTTCCAGTGGATGAGTTGCACCTGGTATCTGAAAGTGTGGCGGGATTCAGTCAGGAGAATGATGAAAATGGTATGATCAAAGTTTCACTAAGTTTGTGGTACAATATTGATCAAAGTATAGTGGAACCTTCAGCTGAAATTTTAGATGACCCAATCTCTCAAGACTCGTCGGATGCCCTAAAAATTGTACAGAGTGTTGGGCGGACAAAGGGTGAGAAAAAACTGTTTCAGACATACCATGGCGCCTTTGGAAATATTGATAGCAAAGCCTTTCGGTTCCCAAATCGTTACAACACGTCTCCTCGGGCAGAATCAAGCAACCGCCATGAGGTGAGCTCGTCTCATTCTGATGGTTTCGTGGGAGCTGAAGCAAATCCTACTGGCAGATGTATGCTGCTACCTAGGCAAAAGCGTGCTTGTATTAGTATATGGGGACTGACTACCCGAATAGCGCAATTAGAGTTGGTTCGCGAAAAGGTCCACGGGCTAGTCGATGAGCTAAATAGCCAAGCTGAAAGAAGAGTTCCAGCGAAAAATACCAAGAGGCGTTTAAAGAAGAAAGCTACACTCAATGCGTCGGTAATGATGAAACTCGAGTCTCAAGCAGATAAAACGGGCGAAAGTCAACAAGATGACCAGGATAGCCAAAGTCATGAAAACCGTGATGCCCATCAGGATGATCAATCAATGCGTGGATATCTTTCTGGCGATGAAATGATTTCGGTTGCGGAAGTTAATTCCCTTTCCCCGCCCACTAGGAAAGGGTCTCGAAGAGTCATCTTTGACGAAAGAATCGAGATTGATCGGCGTGTCAGAATACCTTCTTTGGACTCTGAGAATCCTGAAGATTCTTTCGAGGTGAAGAGAAGAAAAACTTCTTCTGATTCTGCGGTTTGGCACAATATGGAGACGGTCCGCTTGAACAGGTGCCACGACGAAGACAGCGAGCAAGATGTGTTATCTATCAATGAATTGAAACGAAGCATCATCAGTATTTCAAGTGACAACGACGAGATGGAAGAAAGCGATGGATCTGGCGGCGACAGTGGCGAAGAGACGGGCGACGAAGACGAAGCCGAAGACGAAAATGAACATGAGAACGAGGGAGAGAGTGGAGAATGCTTCAATGTGCTAGGAGTCCGTGAAAAACAATCAGATGAATTAATTGACGGGAATATCCTCTCCACTGAAGACGAATCAAGCGAGCAAAGTCAACAGTGCAACGGAAAGGATGACGACAGAGATGAATTTTATGCTTCTGAAGAAGAAACGATTCTGAACAAGCCAGTGGGTGGAGAAGAAGAAATTACCGAGATGTTTGTCTCGAAAGGCTTGGTCAGGAACAAGAAAATCTGTCCGATTGACGAGTCGCTAGTGCAAGAATCACAAACGACAAGAACTGAAGGTAAAGACAATAGCCAGTTATCACAGCTATCAATTGCCATGAGCTGGCACAATAGCACACAAGTATTGAAAATACCAGAAGCCGATGACTGGAGACCTCGAAGGCCAAAGTCAAGCGACGTTATGAACGAGACACAAGAGGACATTTTTGATAGTTCAAGTCCGATATCAACGATCGCCAAAAGGAGATCAACTGGTTTGCAGGTACGTAGATGGACAGCATTCCGGGGTAGACCGCTGGCCCTTACGGTCGGTAAACCTCCTACGCCACCTAGCCCTAAAATTCCAGAGACTCAGATTGTGGCACCTAAGATACCAGAAACACGACTGATTGCAGTTCGCGACATATCTCCTGAGCTTGGTGAATCGCAAGTATCCAATACACCTAACGAGTTCAATGAATCTATACCGGACGCATTGCTCCTTACCAGCAACAAGAGCCCGCTTCATTCTTCTCAACTTTCATTCATCCCAGATGAGATTCCGGAGGAAACCTTTTTTTGCCGAGCTTCTCAAGTACTGGGAGAACATAAGACACCTGTGTCTAGAAGCAAGTCAACTCCAGGTCGCTTCTATCCCGCTCAATTCAAGAGCATTGCGACTCCCATTTATGCCCAACCGAACACCGAGACTACGGAGAGCGAGACATCTGCCCCAAGCATGTCGCCCAAGTTCTCACAACAGTCGTACCGACCCACGCCTAAGTCAGAAAAAAGCTTAAGTCGTCTTACGCGACAGGCCAGTTCTGCTTTGGGGACTTTGCCAGGCTCCGCTAGAAAGAGAACAAAAACTTTACCATTCAAACCGCCATTCAAAAAGCCAATCTTGAAGATTTAGCAACGCCTGATTCACTAAGCCAAGACGAGATTTACAAAGGGACGAAGAGATATTCCTTGAGATTTAGCACATAATTACTTGCTTTTTAGGTGAGAGCATCGTGGTGTTAAGAGCATAAACATGAAACATTCGAGATTTGCATGGAGATTGAGCTATTGGCAGTAACAGAGAGGAGCAATTCGCAACAATATTCGAGAGGCTGATATTCACATTATTTTATTCATAATATGTACATTCAGGCTTGATATATCCATCATTGTAGCTTTTAAATATCTAAGTATCCTTGACATCACAGGTCCGCTTCTCACGCGGTGTGTTTGATTGATTAACTATCTCTCAATAATGTTGTGCTTCTAGATACAGGCCGAGATACTAGACAAGATGTGAAATGTGAGAATCTCTGCAATATCATAATTGATTCTCAGCTTGTACATCACTTAACATCTACTAGTTTTCAACTCACCTCATCATTTATGTTGCTAGAAGAGTCAGTCTTTCCTTACGTGAGCGGCAGTGGTAGAATCTTCAAGTTAGCGAGAGAGTGCGTTAAGATGTACAAAGCAGATTAGTAGACAAGGCGATAATTTCACCGTCCATTTCTCACAGTTGCAGTTCTCCACCTATCAAATTCCTAAGAGGAAACTTCTCATTCATTTTCTGTACCAGAACGCCTTGCTAAATGAACAATTTGGCTAGTACAATATCTTTCCAGGAGTAGACGACATTAGATCTAAATTATTTCGCACCTTTCCCCTTCGCTTCGTTCTCGCCTAGCTCCCTTATATACACCTTTGTCAATCCTTCTCCACTGTAGTCTTCCTGTCCGTTCTCGAACCCTGGGCATACGCCCACAGCTAAATACTTTCCATCGCTTGAAAATGAGAGAGCGGCTACGCTCGTTGGGTATTTCTGATATTGTCTAATTCTTCTTTTCGCAACGGCATCCCACAGTGCAACGACTCCATCTCCGCCTCCAGATGCGAATGTACCGTGCGTGGGGTGGAATGCGAGGGCGTTAACTGGATATACGATATCTGTTCCATCGCCTGCAGCATCAGGTTGGCGATGGCATTTGAAAGCGTATTTGCGGGCTTGGGATTCGGTGGATGGATCGAACCATTCGACGGCGACACGGCCTTCGATAGAGGAAGAGGCATAGCCGTCATCGTTGGGCATGCAGGCTACGGCGCGGGTCATGAATTTGAGAGAGGATTCGCGTTGTTGCCAGGGTTCTTGGGAGGGATTGGCAGAGAGGGGGAGGGAATAGATGTAGAGAAGTCGGGAGGACATGGCGACTACGAGTTTTGTGGCTGTGAGGGAGAGAGAATGCGGTTTGGAAGGGAGAGGAATTGTCATTGGGGATTGCGAGGGGTCGGAAAGGTTGTGAATGTGAAGTGTTTGGTCCCACGAAGCGGATATGAGGAGAGCTAGGAGGTCATATTAGTATTCTGTAACAATTGACATATACGAGGGCGGAGAAATTTACAATGCTCTTTACTATACACCACCGACTTAACTGGCGCCTCATGGGTACTCAACACTGTGTGTTCTCCGCTCTCCAAATCAATCCTATTTCACATTAGCATTCCAAGCCTAACTCAATTGTCCCGTTGATTGAACGCACCTCTTCACCTGCCAATCCATACCAGCCGAAAACGCCTCACTCTCATCCTTCCCAAAACAAACATCCAGTACCGGCGCCCGATGTTCGTAAGTTCTCATCAGCTGGCCTCCTTCAGAAACATTTTCTGTGTTGTATAGATAGACCTTCTTATCCCAGGACGAAACAAGTAATCTGGTAGGTGTATAAGGCGAGTATTGTAGAGAAGAGACTGCGTCAGTAGGTGGCTCAGAGAGTTCATATTGTACTGCTAAAGAGCTATGTTAGTATCCTTGCTTGAGCTTGGGGTGATGCAGAGCTTGCGTACCTGGCGCCATGTTTGTGTAATAAGACGAATATGATATTGAGAGCAGAGTTGATTCTTTGCGCGCAAGAATATAGAGTCTGTAATAAGGAACTTTTCAAAAGAGTGATTCGTCAACGATAATTCAGTTCGAATGTAACCAGGTTCCAGTGAAATATTTAGATTGATCTCGAAGCCGCGTTTCTGCAGAAGGCTTAGTGCAGGTATTCTGCCACACTCACCGCTGGGATGTTTGTCAGCCTTGCATTAAGCCTTTCAACTTTTGCCAAATGTGCCCCTCTATACTCAACAACCGTTCCTTCAAGCTTTCCAGATCGCAATAAAAATAATACTCCTCTCAAAGTCTCAAAGCTGAGAGTGCGGACAGACGTGCAACAAAACTCTTGAAAGGTTCTAAGGGTGAGCTAATATTGGTAGTGAGCAACAACTGCGACCTTCGCATCTCACCACTTTCTCCGGCATTTATAAACACACTTGACCGCGAATATCTGATATTTCGTGCGTTCGGAACCAAATCTGAAGGAGACATTGTTGCTATCTAACAGCACAAGAGAAACAAGCAGATTCCTTCTCGTATCTACCACTCACCAATCACTTCAACTTAAACTTCGACCATATACACAACATGCCTTTCGCACAGCTCGTACTCGGCTCTCCTGGCGCTGGGAAATCCACATATTGTAATGGCATGCAGCAGTTCATGTCTGCCATAGGAAGAAAATGTTCCATCGTGAACCTCGACCCCGCCAATGATCACACAAGCTATCCCTGCGCCATCGACGTGCGCAATTTCATAAAATTAGAGGACATTATGGAGGAAGATTCATTAGGTCCCAATGGTGGCGTACTATATGCACTTGAGGAACTAGAAAATAATATGGAGTGGTTGGAGGAAGGATTGGCAGAACTGGGCGAGGATTATGTACTTTTTGACTGTCCAGGTCAGGTCGAACTTTATACACATCATTCGTCTTTGCGAAACATATTTTTTAAGTTACAGAAATTAGGATATAGAGTACGTTATTCAATTCTTTATTGGGAGTCTACTTTCAAAAATGAAGAAGCTGACATTTGTGCAGCTTGTAGTTCTCCATCTTTCCGATTCCTATTGCTTGACTTTGCCTTCATTATACATCTCCAATCTGATCCTCTCGCTGCGAGCAATGCTTCAAATGGATTTACCACATCTGAATGTTTTGACGAAAATGGACAAATTGGCCTCGTATCCACCACTACCTTTCAACTTAGATTTCTATACCGAAGTCCAAGATCTTTCACACTTACTTCCCAGCCTTCAGGAAGAATCATCGTTAATGAAGGGTTCAAAGTTTGAGGGTCTGAATAAAGCGATCATTCAACTTGTCGAAGATTTCGGGTTGGTGGGATTCGAAACCCTAGCCGTGGAAGATAAGAGAAGTATGATGCATCTACTTCAAGTCATAGATCGTGCCGGAGGGTATGCTTTCGGTGGTGCGGAGGGTGCGAACGATACTGTATGGCAAGTAGCTATGAGAGAGGGTACCACAACGATGGATATAAAGGATGTTCAGGAGCGCTGGATTGATCGTAAGGAGGAGTATGATGAAGCATATCGGGAGATGGAGATGAAGCAATTCGAGGAGCAATCCAAGATGCAGGAAGAGGAAGAGAACTCGAGAGCTGCAGAAGACGATGATGACCTCGAGGAGATGGCTCGGGCGCCATTCGATTCAGGCGTAAAAGTTGTTAGAACAAATCAATGATACCCTCAACCATTTCCATCACTTAATTCTTCATCGTCTTCACTATCCACTGCATCCACCATCATGAGATCTTTCGCAGAGTCTGCCGTAGCTCCCTTTGTGCCAAACATCTTCTCCAAGGTAGATTCACTTTGTTCGCCCAGGTCTCTGCGGGCTTTTAATATCATCCCCCTCGCCCTTCTGATAGCTTCTTCCTCTGCCTTTCTAATCGTTCCACTAACCCTCACAACTCTGAAAACGCAATTTTTACCGTTCTTAATAGGTAAGCTATTCATTAGCGACAAAGCTGCCCAAACAATTCGATAATGCGCTCGCGAGACCCGTAGAATAAATGTCGACGTCGCAGATGACAAATATTTTACTACATTGCAATCGCATCAGTATCCACCCCGTTAGATCAAAACTTGTTTCAGAAGAAAAAGAACAAACCTGCAATACTATCTGCAATTGCACCGCTTCCATAATCTCCAAACAGATTCGCAACTTCCAGTTGGATACCTCTCAGTAGTGCGCGCGAAGTCAGTGCATCGACGGTTGGCTGATTGAACACCACTACATCTGGTAGTTTTTCTTTGCCGCCGGTATTTTTCTCCAGTTCCGGGTAGAGAATATTGACCAGAAGGTATCGATTCTTAATCCGTACCATGGTTGTTGAGACTTGATTTTATCAATTTCTTTGGTCTGGAACAACGCGCTGAACAAAAAAAAAGTCCGGGATACGCGATTTCTTGTGACGTCGGCCTAGGGATCGGTAAGTGGGGAAGTTCACTATCTGCCGAGGGGTAGCGATGACTAGAACCTCAAATCATTCGATGGCAGATTTCAAAATGGATAAACAGACTCTGAAGGCAGCAATTCTTATTGTGTCGACTACTGCAGCTAAAGATGCGTCAACCGACTCCTCCGGTCCTGTTTTAAAAGGCGTTTTCGAGGAAGCAGACAGCCAATGGGAAGTTGTGGAAACGAAGATCGTGAGTGATAATGTGACAGATATTCAGAGAAGTGTGATGTCCTGGACGGACCAAGGAAGTACTATCAATGTTGTGATTACTACTGGTGGGACCGGCTTTGCAGTCTCAGATAATACTCCTGAGGTAATACAGTCTCCAAGGTATTATGCGCATGCTAAAATCTACTATCATAGGCAATTACACCCCTTCTACACAAGCAAGCTCCAGGACTTGTCCATGGAATGCTTGCTGCTTCATTGGCAGTCACCCCTTGTAGGCTTGGAAGAATCACGAGTACCAACAGTTAGCTGACTGATAATAGTTGCTCTCATGTCAAGGCCGGTAGCGGGTGTTCGGAACAAGACAATCATCGTCACATTACCTGGATCTCCCAAAGGAGCAAAGGAGAACCTTCAATCAATATTGAAGCTTTTACCGCATGCTTGCCTTCAGGCTGCAGGAGCAGATTCCCGGACGCTTCATTTGGGAGGTGTGAAGAAGCTCGAGAAGGAAGCTGGTATTGGTTCTGAGGGTGCTTCCCTGTCGGTACATTCACATAAACATGATCACTCCCATAATCACTCACATGGTCACGGTCATAGCCATGGGCATGCAATGCCTGTTAGACATACTGCGCCAGATGAAAATCCTCGTTCAAATGATCCCGCTCTCGGTCCAACGCGACGGAGTCGTTCATCGCCATACCCCATGTTATCTGTCGAAGAAGCTTTGAAGCTAATAGAAAAACATACACCTGCTCCACATGTCGTGAAAGCTGATGTAAATGGAGACATAGTAGGATCTGTTCTAGCGGAGGATGTTACGGCAACTGAAGCTGTGCCGGCATATCGCGCCAGTATTGTAGACGGATATGCGGTCATTGCTACAGAAGGTAAATCGAACAAAGGCGTGTTTCCTGTGGCATCGATATCTCATGCCACCGCCGGTGAGCATCCTCTTCTGCTAGAAGGTCAGATCGCACGCATTACAACTGGTGCACCACTTCCGCCTGGGGCTACTTCTGTAATAATGGTAGAAGATACTGTGCTGAAGACGATGACCGAGGATGGTGGGGAGGAGAAAGAAGTCGAGATATTAGCCGATGGAGTAAAGCCTGGTGAAAATGTTAGAGAAGTCGGTAGTGACATTGAAGCTGGGTCTATTATCATGCGCAAAGGGGAAGAAATATCTGCCAATGGTGGCGAACTCGGTCTACTCACGTCTGTCGGCAGAGCAGAAGTCACTGTTTACAAAAAACCAATCGTCGGTGTGCTCTCCACAGGAGACGAAATTGTCGAACATAATAGACCTGGCTCTCTTAGAATGGGAGAAGTTCGTGATTGTAATAGGCCAACAATCATGGCTGCCGTGCAAGGTCTAGGATTTGAAGTCATAGATCTCGGTATCGCTCGAGATAAGCCTGGAGATTTAGAACAAACACTTCGGGATGGACTTCGAAAAGTTGATGTTGTTATCACCACTGGTGGTGTATCGATGGGCGAGCTCGATCTTCTTAAACCTACCATTGAGAGATCATTAGGGGGAACAATTCATTTCGGTCGTGTATCAATGAAACCTGGGAAACCTACAACTTTTGCAACGGTACCAGTGAAGAACAACGATGGGGAAAGAGTTTCAAAGGTCATATTTTCTCTACCTGGTAATCCGGTCTCAGCTATAGTTACCCTACATCTATTTGTTCTACCTTCTCTACATCACGCTTCTGGAATATCTCCTGTGGGATTGCCTAAGGTTCCAGTAACTCTATCACACGATATTCGTTTGGATCCCCAAAGAGTTGAGTACCATAGAGCGATTGTCTCAATAGGGAGAGACGGCATTTTATATGCAAGTAGCACTGGCATGCAACGCAGCTCAAGGGTTGGAAGCTTAAAGAGTGCAAATGCATTATTATGCTTGCCAATCGGATCGAAGGATTTGCCGAGAAAGACAAAGGTAGAAGCGTTGCTGATGAGTATGGTCAGGAGTCAATATGAAGGTTGATTGAATTTTACAAGAGGGCGAGAAGATTCAATTGAGATGGATGTTGGTGGTTGGTGGTTGAATGGATGGATTTTAATGTCATGATGAGTAAAATTACCTAAATGGGAATCAAAAGTGAATTAAATGTAATTCTCATTCTTTAATTGGAAGGAGCTCTTCCTTTCTCTCATTCTCGGTATCAAAAGTTCTAGAACATCCTTAATATGGTCTTTTTCTCTCCTTCCCAAACATTTACATTCAAGCCTTCTTTTGTTTTTTGACTGTCCACAATCATAACAATATTACTTTCATTTAAATACAGATACTTCATAATGTGTCAATACGAATACTATCAATGGCAAAAATGTGGCCATAAATCTATCGAAATCACAGAATACTGCAATACAGTTTTCTGGAGAGCTGGTATGACAGCTCGCCTTAATCCATGCCCCGAACAAAATTTCAGAGCATTTTTTGTGAGGGTTGGCATCTTGGATGGCTTGGATTTTGGTACTTGTAAATGGATCGGACAATCTGGATACTGCAAAATGTGTGAAGAAGAATACCATGTATGTTTAGTTGTGTTGTGTTGTGTTGTTCTATATTCTTGGTCAAGATTATATACACCGGAGAACTGGTAGCTTTTATAAAGATCTGCTTGAAGTCTATGAAGCACCACGAATGCTACCACATTACTAATTATTTGCAGATGCCAAAAGCCGTTCCATTCCGCACCTATGAAGACTGTGAATTTCTCGAAGGAATTGGCGACCTCACCGGCCCAATCTTCGCAGTCAAGTTAGCTGAACCGATCACATACCCTCCTCCACCTCACTCAATCCAGTTCTCCTCTACTCCAAATGAATGCGTGTCCAAAGACTTTCTTGACATGGAGATAGCCAAAACATCGACTCCCCCACGTGAGTACAATTTATCATTATAAACCCCACTCCGTTTGAGTTTTTCCAGCTTCTGATCAAACCCCTACGGCTCAATATCCAGATATGCCTTGCTTTCCAATGTTTCCATTGAAAAGTACTAACCACACAAGGTTGTAGATGAAGCAACACCACCCACTGGAGAAAACTTGTTAGAGCGTAGACTCAAAGCTTCATTACACCATCCCTACATCTTCACGCCGTACATCAACAATGCCGTTGCAGACTTGATCTCCGTTAAAGACCAGGACCTCGCAATTTTGATCTCGATTCAAGAGAAAGACATTCCCGAGGGAGCTTCAGAGAAAGGTTCCATAAAAGATTTACGAGAACTATACTTTCCAGCAAAGATGCAAATGTATGAACTGAATCAAGGTGTAGATGGTGTTACTCAACAATGGAGTAGCCGAGGTTATTATGAAGGACTAATGGTAGAGGGTGTACCCAGCCAGTACTTCTGGAATCACTGTGGAATGACACCTCAAGATGAGCAGTATGTCGTGGATAGGTTGAAGGACGGCATACCATTGCGACACATTTGGCGGTAAGTACGACGTTTCTCTGATTTTGACTGTGCTTATGCATTTAAAACATCCACTCCCTTTAACTGAGTGCTGCATATCAATATATAAAGGCTGATTCGTACTCTTATAGTGAGAAGTTCAAGGAGAGAGGCATGGATATTGCAATGTTCTATCAATACGGGCGAAAGATGGAGCAGCACTTTGAAGCTCGTGGAGTACGGGTAAACTCCAAGATGGGAGAAATTCAACGCGAACTTGGTACAAGATCCCAAGCAGCCGATGGCATGCAGCCATTTGGTACGTATCGACAGGGTGTGAACAGTGATTTACAACCTGGCTATGGGGTATCTCATGCTCAAATCAATCCTTTTGGACGAAGCTTAGAGGATCTCAATCAACAACATCGGCAGCAGCAGATGCAAGAACATACGCAACAAAATGTGATGCAGCAGGTGATACAGCAGCAGTTAGTCCAGCAACAAATTGCCAAGCAGCAGATTCTCCGACAATACCAGGTGCAGCAGCAACAGATGTGGCAACAGCAGATGATGCAACAAATGCAACAACTACAGGAACAATCACAAAAGGCCATGGATATTGAAAGGGGCCCGATTGTGGCTGCGGAGGAAATCGAGTCGTATGAGCTATAATGGAGCAGGGGAGGCACAAAGCTTGTGACTTCGAAGATGATGATAAAGCAATAAAGCATGGCGTGTCGCTAATTGAATAATACCCGTTGGGGCGTGTAAGCTGCAGTGGAATAGTCATGAAATGTTGCACTTTGGCACTTAATTATGTTCAAGAGCACGAGCGTTCCATTTACTACAATGGCATTTTAATAATACAATCTAGCGATACCACCATTTGACAATAGTAATATTAATGCAACCTTGCCTAAAAACCCAAAAGTGCTTGAAATCGATTTCTCCCTGAACGCCATTTGTCGGCTTCCACTTGGATGATATACACGGTACAAAACAGTCATTTATCTAACGTCTCTTTCCACACCAGAACTGCAACTCTCCTTCACGCCCACAGCTTATCCTCTACTCGAAGTCCGGTGCCTTTGATGAAACCAACAAGCCGATAATGAGACCAAAAAGTCCTAGTACGGAACTGAAAATCTCGATAACCAAAATCTTAACAAACCTGTCACGGATTAGCATCTTCAAGCAGGTTATATCGACATGCTACACTTACAAGCTTGGGTCAGCAGCATCTGCTAGGGCAGCACCACTACCATTGATGCCGACTGAAACACCGCATATCAAGTTGCACATTCCAACTGTTATGCCAGACCAAAATAGGGCGTATCCGGTGTAGTAGTTGCTGGCAGAATAAAGGTTTTCGCTCTCCATGAGACCGAGCTTGGATGAAAAGACGATGGACATGATGACACCGTAAATGGCGACAACTTCGCAGAAAATAATGGAGATAAGATTCTTGGTTCGAATGCGAGGAGCTTTAACACCACCACCGAGAATCGAAGAACCGGTAATCAGAATTCCCCTACATACTTTGTGAGCTGATGATCGAGAAAGAGGGGCGAAGTTGTTGCGTACCATGCTGCCCCAACAACTGACAATCCTATACACATGCCAATACCCATGTCTGCCCACGCGTATGGCGATATCTCCTCGAGGAATTGTCCGAACTATTACTCTTATTAGATTCACTGTTTTGTAGATCGCGCTTCGAAATTCGTACATTGAAAGCTTCTCCATCGCCAGTAAAGAGCATATCTAGCAGCACCTGTTAGCTTTAAATCATCGAACCAAACAGGACATCCAAAACTTACAAGCCCCAACCACCGCCAACGCGGTGGTAGCACCACCAATTCCATATGTAAGGCTCATCTTGTCCAGATAATCTGCGTCAACAAAGTGAAAGGAATTGAGTATTTATTTGATGTCGACAAGCTATGGTTTGGGTGGTCTGGTCTGTACCTCATCGAGCTCCAACCGAAAGAGTAACCTAAATCGCCAACCGTAGCTAGCGCCAAACGCTGCGCAACACAGCCGCTTACTTCAGCCTTCCCTCCATATATAAACAACAACCATCAACAACATCAACTTTTCCCCTTCGACCGCAAATCTCAAAATACAATCATACAAGATGGCGGCTCCACAGTCTTTCTACGAGCTCTACCGCCGTAGCAGGTACTGTGCCTTATTTTGCTACACAAGTTCACAAATATATCTACATTTACTGACAAAGCATTAAGTATCGGCATGGCGCTCACAGATACCCTTGACGATTTGATCAGCGAGAGACGTATCGAGCCTCAGCTCGCAATGAAAATATTGGCAAACTTTGATAGAAGTATTACGGAGGTTTTGGCAGACAAAGTCAAGGCGAGATTGACTTTCAAGGTATATGCGCCCAGGGTCTTTACAAGGAACAACACTTTTCGACATGAGTGGCGACAATGAAACAGAATTTTAGCTGACTGGATACTGAAGGGACATCTGGATACGTATCGTTTCTGCGACGAGGTTTGGACTTTCTTGATTAAGGATGTTACTTTCAAGATGGAGAACTCCAGTCAGTCAGTCACGGCGGACAAAGTCAAGATCGTGAGCTGCAACAGCAAGAAGCCCGGTGATCCTCAGTAGATATTAGGGAGGACTCTTTACGGGCATTCGACATATTAGGGACATAGTGGTGGATAGATTGGGAGATACAGAATGATTTTCGGATGATCAAGAATGGCATTTACAGATTGGGCTCTTCAATGACTTTAGAGAAAGGATATCTCGGGCGTTTATTGGTTTCCGTGGCGTTTCATGGCGCTTTGCCGGAGAATGAGGAAAGCATGCCTAGCTTGTTCGTATATAGCGGCATGGTATCAAAATCATAGACATCGCAATGCGATGCGTCACTAATTTAGTAGCAGAACCATGATAATTCTGTTTACCAGTCTTTCTCGAAAGAGCCACACTATGCTCCAGTAAAAGTGATCATGATTTATAAATCAGAGAGACAAAGCAATTCCAACAGAGCTTTTCAGTGTCCGAATGCTGTGAACAATTGAAGATACTCCAAGGAAAGAAAATAAATAATCCCTCCATCACTGAGGGTTCCTTTGTCAATGCTACCATTTATGAATCGGTATATTTACATTGGGTAAAGTCGACTATACTAGATAGGTACTAAGTTGGCACCCAGTACATGATCATGAAGGAATCTTTCATCGATTTTCTATTTCTCTTCCCTCTTTACTGTCACCTAATGCCCAGTTTATCCATTCAATTATAGGGACTAGTTCATACATTGAATGTTTTGAAGAGGTTTACTCTTTCCACTTGGAGCATCTTCCAGCTTACCCATCATGATTTGACCATCCAAATGTTTCTTGAGGTTGCTGATCAATCTCTCTCAGTATTGAAGCGATTTCAATGAAAATACTTGCGCCAACACTCTCTACACGAAGACAGACTACTCAGCTCATGACGATCCATGGGGCTCAGCTATATGTGTTTTCTTTCCAATTATCTCAAGTTCCAAACTCGAGACCATCATTCAGGTATTCTCACCAAAAGTCCAGACCAAGATGCTTGGCTAAATAAAGTTGCCATTGAAACGCCAACTGAGCATGAGGATCAAATCTGATTTGACCCGGTACCAATACGAAAGCCCGATATATTTGACTAAAAAGAAACAATTGATATTATTTGTCAATGGCTGAAGTTTCAATACAAATGATGGGGTACCCCATACTATAGCTCCCATATATATACTTTGCGCTACCTAACGGTATTCGTCATTTACCTAGTCTAGTGACTTTATGGGCAACTCAACCGACACACCTCTCAATATGTTCGAAAAGAACTTTCAACTGAACAATAACCTCATTGTATCCAGATCTCCCTTCTCCCTTCCTCCTCGAGTTTCAAACATTGAAACCATGCCGTCTCCGGGACCAACGATCAAGAGGCTCTTTGTAGCTGCAAAAAAAGTAGTGATACAGAAAACAAGACCTAGATCCTTCTCTTCGGCTACCAGGTCTTACTTGGGCTTTTCGCCACCTCTAATCATCCTTCGCAATAATGCTGTTCCATCCCCTATACTCACCACCGATTCTTTGATAGCTTGCGAGGAGGGTTCTGTGACTGAGGTGCCAAGTGATATGTATAGGGGTGTAATTCCTGAGTTTGAACATCGACCTTTGACTGAGAACCAGTTTCATATACTGGATTGGTTGGATGAGTCTGAAATTACATTCTTTGAAGAGAAAAAGATATGGAATGATGTGTCCGAGCATGGAGTGTTCAATGATGACCTGTATTTCACTGCAACCGAGAGTGAAGCGTCTCAGGATGAATCACAGAACGAGGGTGAAGAATTCGAGGAAAACTACGGTATACCAGAAGGGGATTACAGCGAATATTACTGGGAGGCGATGGTGGAAACGGGCGATGAGGGAAGAGATATTCAGCAGGACCTCGACGATGTTGTAGTTCGGCTCACGGTCATTGGCCTAATGACAGAAGGCCGTAAGGAGAACAGTTCGGCTGTTTCTGCCCTGGGATTGTTTGATGAAGATAGATTTGAGACTGTCCCATCTGTGTTACCGGGTGAATTCGACGAAGGAGAGATGGAAGACATGTCGCGGGATTTCAATATGCGCCTGGAAGAGGCACAGACACAGATACAGGAACAGGAGTCTCGAAGAACTTCGTTAAGTTTGAGAAAGACGATAAGTAACAAGTGGACTGAAGTTAGAGTTAGCCTGCGCTGGAAAATGTCATTTTCGTCTTTACAGACAAAAGATACTTGAGAGCCATCGACATTGCGCGCAAAAGACTAAATCTCTGGTAGCTGAACATTGCGTACATTGATATGCGAGCTTTCAAGATGTTGACACAGCTACTATGAATATTGTCGATAAGAACAAGACTTCACCAGCATATTCAATCTGGCAGCTCTCACGTCATTCTTTCTCCTCCTATAAAAGGCCAGTGAAATGGAGAGCTAAGGCAGAGAGACTGCACCCAGGAAATCATACGCCAACCCAACCGACTTACAGTTTCTAATAGAACGAGCGTTCGATTCCAATTACCCAAACACTGCCTGTTAGGACCGCGCCTCTACGTAACCCGGTAATTCCCCAGTAGCAGATCATACAGAAGCGAGGGCAATAATGTTGTACCACTAAACCCGAACGTTTCGACAACTGAGCTTGTAGTTTCCGAAGCTTGCTTGGGAGGAACAAGGCTTGAAAGTGGCGATCGAGTAAGACCATGGGGGTTTCGATATGTGACTGCTCTACTCTTCTTGGGAGGAAAGTACCCGTAGCTACACAGGCGACGAAAGGATTACTTGCATTTGATATCGGCAGTTCAAATGGGGGTATTTGTAGGAACCCGTGAAAGAGTCGCCGAAGAGAGATGTGTGAGGTATCCTACTCGATAATTTGAAGGGAAAGATGCTAAATGGTATAGACTTCATTTAGTTATCTTATATTTGTGAAGATTTGGAAGATGTACGAAGTTTGAACATTAAAGATATGCAGTATTATGATGTTAAGATTTTAATGAGTAATGATATCAATATAATTAACTGTGTATCTTTCACTTCAAATTTCACTCCCAATACCATCATCTGGCTCGCAGCTAGTATACTATCAACAATACTACTCGATCTAGAGTAGACTATCGCACTCCCTACTCCACAATCTTTTCCACCAATTTCTAATCATGTCTTATTAAAATCAATGTTATTCAATGCGCAAAATTCTTCTTTGCCAAGCCGGTTAGATTGTGTTGTCCGTGAATGAATCCTCATGAACTTTTGAAATATGTCAAGCTTAAGTCTGTTTCCGAGTATACAGTATATTCTTGATCTGCATTTTGTACCTTTCCATATCCTCGGAAGACTCAAAGCTTCATCTTGAGAGTGCAATTCTAGTCATAGAGATGCTATGATAATTCTAGCATTAAAGTGTATGAGTTGATTCATTGATTCCTAGTAGGGAAGCTTCGAGTCATCCAAAAGGATGTTTTGATTCATACCCCTTTTCCACATTATGATTCTAAAGACCATAGTCTTAGTGCGAGAATTGTACTCTTAAGCTTCGAGATTTCCTGAGGAGAGGGGAAAAAAGTTGAAGTACCAGGAACTTACTTCCTTGGACTATTAATAGGATTATTTGCATATTCTCGACATTCTGAAAAGATATTTTCAACTGTACGCTCATTCACAAGAAAAAAGCAACCATGTCTCAAGATCCTAAGTTCAACAAGAATTATCTCTACTCGTAGGTAGCAGATCAGCCGTCTCCCAGTTCAAAGCCGTCCATGAACAACGCATTCCCTGCCTTTTCTGCCACCGTTAATGCTCCAGATCCTCGCTACAGCCAGAACTTTCCCCATCCCTCAATAAACCGTCAATCCTCTAGCGCATATGTGGCATATTCTACCTCTGCTTCTACCTCTACTAGTAATGCTTTAGCTCCACAGTACAACCAACCCCCCCCCCCCCCCCCCCCCCCCGCACTTCTTTAAACTTGCAAACGCTCCAGCGCATACTCGCCAAGCTCCACATCCTCTACATATGCCTCTGTTTCTGCTTCTGCTGGCGACGCCGCAGCCGACTATGTCCTCCCAGCAGTGACTTATTCTAACACTGTTTAGAAAACACGCCACCATAAATACGGTTTCTCATCGAGACTGTCCCAGGCCTCATGCTCTTCAGACACATGTTCTCAACCATCCTTACCCCCCTCTCCTACACCCTTTGACATGCGACCTACTCAGAAATGGCTCTCTCAATTGCGGTATGACATCCCAGTCAAGTTGACAGCTCAAGGAACAAAGGGTAACTCAGACAGTTTCCGTGACCGAGAAGTATCAGGCAGAATTAACCGCTCGGCTTCGAGATCGAGCTCCCCGACACCAACATCAGTGGGTAGCTCTTCTAGTAGTAGAGGACGGCCACGAGTAGGTGGGTTGTACGAGATTGATTACATCAGACCGAAGAGGAGGCCCTGCGTCTCTAAGGAAACTCGCAAAAAGGAGATAACAGAAAGACAGGCAATCGCGCGACAGTCGGCGGGAAGACAGACAGCTGAAAGCCCAACAGCCGACGAGGAGGAAAGAAAAAGAAAGAAGCCGGAGGATTGGAAAGAATGGCAGACTGATGAGAAACATTAAGGCTGGTTTTGATTAATGGTATCCTCGGCGGATTTCTTGAATCGAGGAGGGTTTTCTTATGTCTTCGGGCCTTTGCGTTATCATATTTTTATTTTCACTCTTGAAATAGATAACAAATTACTTGTTAGATGAATGATAGTATAATGATTTTACCTTATGATCACAGAGACAGTATGATGACTTGAGTGATCGAATTAGTGAGACCTTGAGGCATTTGCATATCAATGTCTTGTGTCATACTCTTTTTCAGTATTATGACTCCAAAGATTGTAGATTTCGAATTCTCGAATCCTATGCCTTAGAGAGAACTATCACCTGCTTTGTCAGAAGCGAATGAAACCGTCGATATTAAAAATGAGAATGGAAATTCTTTGATATCATATGGATTGCTCACACACAAGAGCCAAACTCGGTAGCTGATACTTCGACCTCAACCTCAACACACGTGGAGGATCCAGGATCGCACCACTGACGCTTAAATCAGCTCTATGAATTCGTTCTATTGGTCGTAAATCCGATCGGAATGCATTAAATGAGATAATAATGGTATGTATTCAAAAGACTCGGAATATGGGGTTTCTTTTCAATGTCTATGACATAGACATCGTCACAAGAAGATGGATCGTCTCCTCGGCTTCCTACTGATCCCTTGGACCATCCAAAGAACCCGAAGAGCTTCTCGTGGCAGTCACTAGACCATCGACCCCAATACCTGAGACCTGCTCTATCATAGGCACTTTATCCGCACCCAACTCTCAGGTTCCTGGTTGTAATACCAATTCCCCGAACGCCCTTCATTGCAATTTCAGCAACTGGCTCACGGTGGTTTCTTATGTGGGAACTGAAGAAAGATATGACTCTCGAAGATGGGCTTGTGTATTCGAGAATAGGGCGTACCGTGTAATTTGAAAAGCTGAGAGGAAGCACCTTGGTTCTTGAGCAACTGGCGCTTTAGTGTTGAAACGGGGGGAAGATATGTGGAAACGGAGAAGATGGTAACAGCGGGTGAGAGAGGAAGATGATGATCAAGTTTCGAGCACCAAAGCATAATAAGTTTTACTGAATACAGTAGAAATGATGGCGATGAACCTGGAGTCCAGCTAATTGAAGCAAAAATGAATTTGCCCCAGAAGTCCTTAGATACATGCTTTTGAAAACATGGCGTTATGCAGTATCTGTGAAGAGGAAGGTGCAACGCCCTCGACTCACTAATCCAGAAAAAGAAATAATTCCGATGATATGCAGATGACCTACTTACTTACCATTAAAACTGTTTGACGACAATTATCAAATCACATAATTGCTAGTGAGATTCTTCAATGACATCTATGATTTCCCGAAGCCCCTTGCAATCAGCATCAGCGCAGTGTCCAGGCTCATTTCCGGGCACCGTAACTTACTACATCACCCCAAACCACACCTCAAACAAAGGGATAACCACCTCTACCTTACCCTAACAACGCCCAACACTATAGGCTCTTCACCATGCTCCGCCCTGCCAAACGCAAAACGCAATCCTCTACCCTCTTCACCTCTGCCTACGAATCCGACAATCACGAATCCCCAGGATCCGTAGAAGCCAACGCCGGTACAACAACAGCACTCACTACCGGTTCTACCATGTCCGCTCTCACACCCGAGGCTGATGGTGGAGTAGACGCACTGGGTGGAGTTGGGGTGGATGATCCACGTAAACCCCTCTTGGGCACAACAGGAGCAGGGGTTAGATATAAGCTTCAGACTAAGAATAGGATTCTGAATGACGACGGGTCTTATAATGCAACTACGATTTCTGAATCAACATCTTTTTCACATCGTGAAGGGAATGAGCCAGAATTGGAATTAGAAGAAGACGAGGACGAAGAAGAAGAGCAAGAAAACACAATGGAGAATATTAGTCGGAAATCGCAGTGGATTTTATTGGCGGTGGCTAGTGGTGCTTGTGCGGCTTTCAATGGAGTTTTTGCGAAATTGTAGGTTGTTTTTGGATTATTTTTTTGGCTTCAGATGCGTTGCGCGGACTTGGCGATTCAATGGAAGGAACAGTATAGAAGAAAAGCGATTATGGATGCGCCGATGTACCGGATTGGTTTCTTTTCAAAGCTACACGGAATGATCGGATATGTCATGTCATTACTAGAATTCAATGCGCTGACACTTTATTGAACCCAGAACGACAACACAATTAACGACTTCATTCGCAGAGCATGTTGCAGGATTTTTTGGATTGGGGGAGGGTGAAAAGGTTGTTGAATATGGTGTGCGAGGAGTGAGCTTCCCATTCTTATTCAATAAGCAATGTTGTTTCTGGATGTTACCTTTCATGAGAAACGGAACACCAACACAACCACAAGATTTCTTAGACTGTACACATTGCTAATCTACAACTGCAATAGATATTTTTCCTCCTCAACCTGGTCTTCAATGGTATAATGTGGACTCTCTTTACCAAAGCCCTCGCTCGTGGTACCTCAACCGTTCAAGTTTCTATCATAAATACATCGTCCAATTTCATGATAACGGCCGTTCTTGGCTTTATAATATTCTCGGAAAGTTTGCCACCATTATGGTTTCTAGGCGCGGCATTGTTAGTTGCAGGGAATGTGATTATTGGGAGAAGAGAAGAGGAAGAGAAGGGAAATGGTGGAAATGATATGGAAAATGGAGAAAGTAGACGGAGAAGCGGAAGCGAAGGAGAGGAAAGGGAAGGACTATTAGGGGAAGAGTTGGAACTGGGCGGGGGTATTGTGGAGGGTTCTGATGACGAACGTTCTAAAAGAGATGATGATGTTCTGGATTTGGGATTGGATGATGAGGGGAAGAGTGACGAGGAAGAGGATTTATTAATCCATTGATTGGAAATTCCATTATTTGTATAGATGTGTTTTTGGCATATATGGCTCGATACTATACGGGCGGTGGAATGTTGTTTGGCGTTAACCTTGGGCTGGACACGATTTAATATGATGTTATGGTATGGTTATTAGATTTACTCGCTGGTTCTCATTCTGAGTCCCAATCATACATTCTCTAGATCTAGTAGAGAACTAGGATATGGGCAATCACTTATATAAATGCGATGTATGAAAAAACAAGACCAAACGTCGGAAGTCCAACTCAAACACGATCAAAATATCAAGATATTGTATCGAAGAGGGAAAGCTCAACCAAAGGCGACGAAGTTCGGCATTCAGATTTCGATCAGAGCTCACCGGGAATTGATTTGCAGAACTCCCTGGTGAGCTTCTCAATTCTTATTCCCATGGGCCATCTCTTTCGTCACATCGCCGGGCTCCGGCGTGCTTGGGTTTTAATGGGTTGGCCTACCTTGTAGCTCTTGCGGTGTTTCTTTTTACAAATGTGCTTCCTGTGCTTAGAGTGATATTTCACAACACAAGAACATCATTTCACTCGACGTATATGCTGAAATTTTACATTTCACAGATCTTTATTTCATTTATGTAGGTATGTTTGTACAATTCGCACAGGTTCATGAATCTATCCAAACGCCACGAGGCGAAACAGAATCATCTCTCTAAGTCATTCACACCCACCCACCCTTAACTCCACAAAATACGAATTCGCCATTCCCACAGATCCAAACCCCATCAAATACCCATCACCTACCCCAATAATATACAAATCCAACCTACTCATCACTCAACGCAACAATCTCAAAATATCTCCCATCCTCGTCTCCTTCCCCTTTCCTCTACCCTTACCCGCCTGCTCCTGAAATGCTCTACCGACCAATTTTCGCTTCTCCGCCTGAATCTCCAAAACTCTCTCCTCGATACTTCCCTCCATTACCAATCTCCAAACCTTGCATTCACGCTTTTGTCCCAATCGATGCACGCGATCCACCGCCTGATCTTCGATTGCCGGGGCCCACCAGGAATCGGCTAGGATGACTGTATCTGCTGCTACTAAATTGAGACCTACGGAACAAACGGCCAAACTGGCAAGGAGGATTCGACATTCGGGATCGCTTTCGAGGGAATGTATGCCTTTGTCACGTTGCGGAGCTGTCATTGAACCATCGATACGAGCGAATTTGATTCCAGCTTGCTCGAGTTGTTTTTGAACGATGTTGAGAAATGAGGTCCATTGCGAGAAAATGACGATTTTGGAAAGTGGGTCGCTGTGTGTGACTTTGATGATTTGCATGAGAGCTTCGGTTTTGGAAGATTGCTCATCTGTATTGATTTCCTCGTCTTCTGCTGTTTCGACAGCAGGGTGAACGAGGACTTCTTTGTTCTCGAGATGGGCACGGCACATTGGGCATTTATGTTGTATTTCGATAGTGCGTTCGATACATTCCTGTCCAAAAACGTGTTTGCAGGTTGTGATGACCGGGTTATGGAGTTCTTCGAGACAGATGGAACATTCTTCGTGGTTGTCAATGTTTAGTTGAAGGAGCATTTGTAGTGCGAGACGAGTCTCGGCGTTGAGTACAACTACGTCGTCTTTTTCAATAATGTCCATGAGGGTGTTGACTCTGTTCTCGCAAAGCTTCCAGTGGTTACATACTTGACGCATGCGAAGCAGAATTTCAAGAATGTGGGTATATTGGATTTTGTTCTTCATGAGAGATTCCGACTGCTTTTGATATTGATCGGCCATACCTTTAGCTTGTTGACTGATTTCTTGTTAGTATAGGTATTGGGAGATTGGATGTTGGTACTCACACTAAAGCTTCATAGATCTTCAATTCATCATTTCTGAACTTGACCTTGTGGACGAACTCAGACAATTCTGGCAATCTTAAATCGACAAACTTCATATCCTTCTTACGTCGCAAGCACAAAGCTCTCATTGTTGTTTGTAGAAGCAGTTCTGATTCACGATTCCTTGACGCCCTAAACGTAAGTTAGCATAAGTAATTAATGTGATGCTCCTTGAGTGAGCACTTACAATGGACGAGTAAACACGGCGTTGAAAACCTCAAGCTCATTGAGGCCACCACCAATACCCAGAAATCTGAGCATCGAGTAAAAGTCCTTGATAGTATTGACAATTGGTGTTCCTGTCAGTACCCATTTTGAAATGGCACTGATACCTGTTGCTGCAATCGCACTCTTTGTCTTCGGATTACGGATGATGTGACCTTCATCCAAGACAATTCTGCGCCAGTTGAAGGAAAACAATCCAGAAGTAGTCGGAAGTTTCGCGGGAAGCTTTGAACCGCGAGGGAACAATTCTGAGCTGAGTGTGCCGTAAGTGGTGATAACAACATCGTACTTTTTAAAGTCACTCGGGGTCATTGCCTTGACCTTGCCTTGGCTACCATGGTAAGTCAAGACTTTCAAGGCTTTGTCTTCCTTGATATGTCTTTCTATTTGCTGTGCCCAGTTTGACATAACACTGACCGGTGCAACGATCAAAGTTGTACCTGTTCCACCCTCAAGAATAAGGGAGATAACCTGCAAAGTCTTTCCAAGACCCATATCATCCGCAAGTATACCACCCGAGGCCAACTTCGGAGCTTTATCACAGTAGTTGGTTGCGATATTTTTGTAAGTGCCTTTATGTTCTTTTGAGGCTTTCCAAAGCTGCACAACCTTGTCTGATTTTGCATCTGGTAAAACTGGATTCTCTTTCTCAAGCATCCATGCTAAGCCTTGACGCTGATATGGAAGTAATGTAGCCTTGAGATCTTTTGGTTGCTCTGCCATGGGCATTTTTGAGAGTGCATCTTCAGGTAAGCCCAACTCTTCGGCCATCTTATCCACTTCTCTCGGATTGAATCGCTCGCTGTTCGCAACAAAATGTGCAAGATCAATTACTGGTTGAGGTGTTGGCTCTATTTGACTTGAGCTACTAGCTTGAGAAGATGTGAAACCCATTTGCTTCCTCTGCGGCGGTAGAACTGGAGCCTTCGGCGGCTTTGGCGGCGCCACTTCTCGTCTCTTCAATGGTAATCTCTTGGCCGCCAACTGCTTCTCCACTAGTTGTATAGTTAGCAAGCAGAAACATCATTCTAGAAACTTGCAGCAGATGACTGCTTGAGGATATAGCATACAGTTAGCTCTCACGGCAGGATCCGCCGGTCCATAAATCTTAAGCAAAACAGGGCAATCATATGCTCTCTTTTCTCCAGTAAGAACTCCCTCCATAACAATTGTTCTCGCGTCCTAAGTTTTGCATCAGTCTCCATTTCACATCGCCAATATCTTCAGAAGTACATACCAAAAACCCTGCCAACTTAGCAGCCAGCTCCCTCGGCAAGTGTCCGATCTGTGTACCTCTCACATTATTAATACGAATCGCATTCGAATCATACGGATTTCCCGGTTCTCTCCTAATCATGACTTGTTCACCAGCCGTCGCATATCCTTCATAAAATCTAACGCCCACAATCTTCCCATCAAGAGCTCCAACCAACACCCATCCAAACCCCTCTTCAACATCTTGGCTCAAATCAATAATCTCATCTTCCTCACCCTCGCCCCACTGATCACGGACATTCAAAGCTTGACTCGAACTTGAATTTCCAGCCGCCTGTGAAGGTCTTGAAGAACCAGAACCAGCTCTTGACAGACCAGGTGTAGAATTAAGTCTCGGTTGCTTGGGCTGAGCGCGCGGTACCTCATCCTCTGAATCCGAGTTTGTCAAATCGACAAAACCAGACGACGCGCTGCGTTTGCCTAGATTCGACATGATGAGTCCAAAAACCGATTTATCATGTACCAAAATTGCAAAATGTGGTTGTTACGAGAGAAAGCTTGACGCGTTTGCAAGGTTCAATTGGTTTCAAGAGCATCGGTGATTACATGGATCTATAACGCCTGAGCACGTGATTATGGGTTTTGTGTTCAATCGATTTGTTTGTATGTTTGGGTGAAGTGTTTCTCAGTAAGTTGATTGCTACTCCTCATCTGTTTCTGTCAACGATGTGGCTATTTGTTCTAGATCGCTATTGCTAGCTGGGTAAATGCTAGCATCTTCTACCCCGGCTTGGGGCCGCATAACCTAATGACTCCATATGCTAGCTCTCTTAGCATAGGTAGGTAGTTTTAGCTAATTTGATATACCACTATTCGCCATTGCGAACTAAACATCGATATTGCATTGTTATAGACTCAACTATTATAAGCATAGATACATTAACTCATGTTCTCTTTTCCTTTTCTCACATTCTCACATGCAGCTCATCGTCATCGTCATCAACCAAAACCAAGCTTCTTATCCCTGCTCTCTTCATTCGAAAGAACAGGATCCAACACATTCGGCTCCTAGAATCAATAGATAGATAACGCAAGCCTGATAAAATACTTGAATTTTATTGTCTTCCAGTTCCCAAGGTCTTTAAGATTAAGTTGATCTGATATTTGTGATTAGAAAGTCGTGTATTTTATTCCATTTTTGACAGCTTTTGCGAACTTTGGTGTGAATCTGTATATTTGAACAGGGCAAGCGAATTGTGTTTACGTTGTCTTTGGGATTCCAAGTCAAGATGATTCGAGAAAGATTATTGATGTTTTTGATTAATATTTTCTGTACGTACATTTTCTACAATTTTCCATCATCGAATTATACAATTAGAAAACTAATCGAATCAAAGGTCCGCCCGTGACAGTCATGGCTGTAAGTCTCTTTTCCACCTTTCTCAACCTCAGTGCCACTCACCTAGACTAAAATCTATCCTAGATCGCAGGCGTGGGTGCCGACTGTCTCCTCAACACTATCCTTTTCCTCCTTGGTGTTATTCCCGGCCACATCCACGGTTTCTACATAACCTGCACCTATTTCTCTAGAAAGAGTAAAGTTCGAAAGGGACAGTATCCAGGCGGACCGAAAATGGGTATTTATAGCGAGAGAGTTTGGTATGGGGGTGCCAGCTCAAGACGCATAGACGAATTGTGGGAGAAAAGGGAGAGTGAGAGGGTGGAAAAATTGGAGAAAAAAGGGAGAGGATCTATGGGAAGAAAGAGTCAAAATGGGAAAAACAATGGGAGAAGTGAGGTGCTGAGAATGCATAGTGATGTGGGAGTGGAGAGGATGCATTCAAGTGCTGGTAGAGGAGGTGGCAGAGGAATGGAGAGGAGTACGACTATGGCGTAGGGTATTGTAACGAACAACATTCAATTGGGTTTGGCATTGAGTTATGCTCACTTGAGCACGGAAGAAAAGTAAATACAGACAGTTCATCTTTCCTGGGCAAATAGAAGAGGACCGAAAAAAGTTGAACACACTTTTGCATAGAGCCTGCTCATAACCTAATGGCCTCCATTTGATTCTCCTCCTTCCAATACCATATAATCATCAGAATTTTGATACAAACGTACTTCTGCCGCTCGATATATCCTCAATATCTTGTCAGAAAAAAAGAAAAACTCATAGCTTAACAACGAAAAGTGTTGCGCGCCAAGATTCCCATATCCATAAATAGTCCTACAAATACGCACGCAACGGGTATCCTCGCAAAATAGTCGAAATGCACATCAACAGCGTGCAGCTGTTCACTTGTCGATGTTGTCAAAACCATAGAGAGGTCTTCCTTGTCGACGCAACGCCCAAATGACCTAACATGGCATTATCAGCTTTGAGTCTCAACCAGCTACTTTAGCACAAGGAACCCACATCGTTGACAGTGACCGTCTTTCTCTTCGAGTGCTCAACTATTGCGACACAATCCTTCAAAATCTGCAAGGTGTTAAAAACGACGATCTCAGTATTGTAACGAGTGCACAAACCTCATTCAAACGTGCTTTAATTGCCTCACGGACATCGCCATAGATCATCGATGAGATACGTTTGACACCGCCTCTGCGTGCTAGACGTCTATGAATTGTGATTAAATCGCATCTTCAGCCTTATCACGGAAGTTCTAACCGAATGTCACCTTTGGTAATACCATTGATGTTATCTTTCAAGACCTTTCTAAAATCAGAAGCATATTAGCAAATTGTCCATTGTATTTGTGAACTGTACAATCCTTGACAGTGATGAATGAAGTAACTTCAAGAATCTCCAAAGCATGGTGAAATCACAGAGATCGATCCAGAAAACTTACCGATGTCTTCTCAAACGAGAACCACCTCCAATTCCCCTACCACCAAGCCCGGTCTTGCCCTTGCCTCCGCCAAGGCTTGACATCACGCTCTTCCCGGCCATTGAATGATGTCCTTTTCGAGGGTATGGTGAGGATAAGGTTTGTGGTGCCATTTTACTACAAGGAGTTGATATCCGGCTTTAGAGGAGGTAGCAGTTTATTGTAATATTATTACTCGATCATACATCCAATGGAGTCGAGACAATTGTATGAAAGTTGAAAGGGATTGAACAAACGAAAGTTGAACGCGGCTGGGAAGCGGGGGAGAGCGAAGTCACGGGACTTGAAACTAGCGCGTTTTTCTGCTTTTTCCTCTCACCCAGGTCTCACTTTCAATACTAGATATGTACCGAGCGAATTTATTATTCTGAAAAAGAACTTCTGTTGATATCCAAGCCTCCTAAAGAGACTCTATTACCCCATAAGGTATCTCCAAGCCCTAAAATGTATGTACTTATTCTCCAATGCACCCATGATGTCTCTTGTTCTGCAGACGCCCAAAAACCAAAAAAATTGACAAGTAAAAACATCAATACCATAAACTCAAGTCCCAAGGTATCATTCGGAAATAAACGTTGCTTCGGTGTAGAGAACTCCCTCCTCTGTAATTTCTTCATCTCCAATCTTCAGTGTCAAAGTGGTTGGCTTGTTACGCGGGGAGTACTACGTGTAGTATTAGTATCACGGAATTTCGTAAAAGTATGTATGACAAACCTGGTAGATATATGGTCTTGTTCCAGCAACATTGCCCACGATTTTCTTCACAAACCCAGGGACTTCAGCCATGACATCAACTCTATCGAGTCTTTCCTCGAGGTCTGTTTCGATTAAACCAGAAACGGATTTTCCATCCTTTGTCTTTCCTTGCCAATCGAATTTGACAGCCTCTGGTTCCAGCCAGCCAGCATCCTCGTCATTCTTGATCCTGGTGTGTTTTGCGGTATTTCCAGCTCCAGCACAGATGATTTCGCCATCCTTGACTATGCCACCGACACTGACAACGGTAGAACCATATGCTGGAGGTGTTGTGTATTCCATCATTATGGCTGAAAATTGTGGACCTTGATAGTTGACAAAATTCCACTTTGCGGCAGCGTGATGTGGTTTCATTCCCTGGAGCGCATGTATAAATAATGCCTTGCCCTTGAAGTCTATTGACCCATCTTTGGTGGTAATAGAACCTTTGGTGATAGTTCGTGGCCAAAATGCATGTCTCATCGAGCCCCAAGGAGCCTTTGGATCCGTGCCATAATATGATTTGCCATCTTTACCGACATGGAAACCCGGAGCAACTCGAGTCACTGTGAGGTTGACGATGGATGCTTCATTCGTCATGGATTTGATAGTATATTCTGTGCCATCCTCAGAAAGATCAATAGCAACATCGTCTGCGTAGAAGCAGGTTTTATCATCGCTGAATTCGACGTTGCTGAGTTGATCGGAACTCCATAGATTAGGCTTTGAACTACCTTTAGGATAGGAGATTTTGCAGTTGAACTGAGTTGTCGTTCGCACGCCACTTCCTATAGTATTAGCATCTCATTCTTTCGAGGGGAGAAGTGTAAATCATACATAACATTACTGTGTATAATTTGCGCCATAGCAATATGTCCACTATCAGCCATGAAATAGAAGGTCTGAGTCTCTACGCTCGTCGAGTCCATAGCGGCCCATTTCATATCTTCTCGCGAAAGTTCAGTGTATGGCGTGGTTTCTGCTTGCTTGCCGACTGGTATAATTGCTGACGGTCCATAGATCGGTTCCGCTGTACCGGCAACATTGGCCATCGTCTTTTTGGCCCAGTTCATCATCTTGAATATTTGTGTTATTGCAACTTTGGGGGTTGAAATGATTTGTTGTGATGTTTGACTTTGAGAGAGGGGCAACCGTCCTTCAAGTACCAAGATGACCCCCATCATCTTGTTCCTGCCTAATGCATCCATCATCCATATTTAATCACGTGCAAGCCCCTTTCATAGATTTAGAAGGGATTAATCTTGCTGTCGTTTGCGAAGAATATCAAATTGTATACAAATGACGTATTATTGTAAAAGGCATTGTGTCGCATCATTTTACAGAAATCAAATGAGTTTCGGCATGTGGATTATCTAAAATTTGGGGTAACCTTGAAAGGCTGAATGGATCCTTGACCAAAAGAACCCATGTCATTTTCGGAACCTTATCGACAAGGCGACAGACGCGGCCTAAAATTTTAATTTATCAAATTGACCTCAAGAAAGCTTCATTGTCAGGACATCTTCCTCAGCCAGCACCTTGATAACGATGTCGAAAGCACGCGCAGCTTCAGATGTGATAGTGAAACTCATAGTAGGAGCAGGACAAGCCAGTCCTAGTCCTCCAGTTGGTCCTGCATTGGGAAGTAAAGGTGTGAAGTCAATGGATTTTTGCAAGGTACGCACATCCCCAAGTTGCGCAGTTCCTGAATTTTGCTGCATTTTCGAGTTCATTTGTATCATAAATACAAGCTTTGTCGTTCTCAATTGGTCAGTTAGTCTAACAGTTTCGCTAGGAATTCAATGCGAGAACTGCCCATATGAATCCAGGAACCCCAATTCCCGCGAGAGTTACAGTACGACCAGATCGGTCATTCCATTTCGAACTACGCACACCGTCAACGTCATGGTTACTTCTCAGCGCTGCGGGTGTTGAGGCGAAAAAGGGAAAGCTAAAGGGAGCACCAGATTCGACAACGGTTGTGGGTACTGTCAGTTTGAAGCACATCTACGAGATTGCCAAAATAAAACAATCGGAATTGCGCCTATCAGGGTTATCTTTGGAGGGGCTTTGCAAATCAGTGATTGCGCAGGCGAAAACCATTGGGGTTAAGGTTGTCGCATGAAGGGGGCGAGGGGTTGTCGATCAGGCTGATTCGAATAAGCTGAGTCAATTTACACGTGTGATATCATTGCGGCGGCGTTGGGATTCATATGTACACTACTCTCAGAGGGAAACCTGAGATTACATGGTGTAAAATAGACGATTTTCATGACGGTTTAACCTCGAGAATGTTTCGACTAGGACATAAATATTTCGTTAACAGTGTTGATGAATCCGAGCTATGAGTGTTTGTCCAATAGCATGCTCAGAGATGGACTCATGTAACAATACAAACTTTTCCAACACCATGCACACTTGGCCGATTTGTTTCATTCTGCTCTTCATTAAAACTGCGCTTCCAAATACTTGATTATTGGGCGCTCAGCGAGAGTAAATACTTGAGTAGGTAGGTCATGCTTCCTAAGATGTCTCTTCACGGAACGGATGTCTCTCATTGGAAATCCGAGACGAACTCCGGATTGCTTCGAGCTAATTGGATCACGTGTAAGCATCTCCTCCAATCCTTCTGGAACGCTTTGCGCAACCCCAGCAGCGAAATCGGGGCTTCAGGGGTTGTCCTCGGTAACACTCGGTATCACTTAGGCTTGGCTTTGACAGTGGAGTTCTAGAAGAAACCTAGAAGAATCGTATCCCAGCGAGCCCAGCTATCTACGACCAATGCAGCCTTAAGTGTCAATAAAGCAGGAAGATCTACAAACCAAATCGCCCCCCAAGAATGTACAACGATCCACTCATAGACGATGCTCAGTATCGGATGTGCCGGGACCAAATACGATGCTAATGTTGTACAAGCAAGCAGGCGCCTCTGTAGACTCGACGTGCATAATCTTGTGCCTGCTGAGCTGCTGTGCAAGATAAAGACTTTGGCGAATTAAGCAATTAGAGATGCCTGGTGTTAATTTGAGTCTTTTGATTTGAGCGACTCAAGACGGAACCAATTTCTCCATTGTAGGAGAATTGCTGGTTCCAATTACATAGAGACATATGCCTTATTTGTTGTAATGAGTTTGCTGTAATGAGTCTCAGAAGTAAAGATGGCATGCCAGTCAGTACTTATTGATAGGTCGCCCCCCTTTCTCATCACGGTTTATAAGGCGGTTTCAAGAATACAGAATCGCCAGTCAGCCACATCTACTGAACGACCACAGTCTACGTGCCTCTGTAGAAGTGCAGTTCTAGGTTGGGCTTTACATTTTCTCCATCTGTTTATTTTTATCCCGCCGGTGTTAAAATTTCGATCCACCTCTCCACAATGCCTGGCTGAAAACGGAATGATGGTGGTCGAGACCTAGATAATCTCAGCTTATGTGATTTGCTGAGGGCAAGAGTATCTATCTTCGTACGTACGTAGGAAAAAACTCGATTTTCTTTCTTGCATCACATGTGTTTAGAGAATGAAGCGTTTTTACCAGTAGACCTCGTACCTCGTACCTCGTAAAAACTTTTTCCTTTTTCTTTTTCAAGCAGCGACGGCCCAGCCTGACCGCATGTAGAAAAGAAGCCAAGACTTGTTTGTGGTGTGATTAGTAAGCCATGTGTAATCCAAATGAATGCGAGTCAATGGAAATTACCTCCAACCCTGGGAGTACCTTGGTAGACCGGCGGGTGGGAGGTATCCATTGAAGTTTTCTCATCTCTTCATCTCTCATCTCTTCATCTCTTCACCACAAACCACCTGCCGGCACTCGAGTAATATCCTTTTTGATGGATGCTTCTGAAATCTGAAATCTGAAATCTACTGTCCCGTTCTTCTCCATCTCACCAACCGTTTACATGATTCCTCCATAGCCGCCTTTTTGTAACATTTTGGTACGCTGTACATATCATCTCGATCAATTCAATGTAAAGTATTATCCGGTTTACATCATATATCCCACCAGACACCACACACCACACACCATACATCATACACACGAATTCGAAGCAAGTAAAGAAGGCACCGGAATATACCTAGCACATGCCTATCGTCACACTACAGTCCTCCATCTTCCTGTAGTTATTAAAGCCGATGCAAATCCGACCCATGTCACTTTACATTTTCCGTTACAGATTACCTGGTACACATCTTCGTGTCTCTACCTCTTATTAATATATCGACCTTTCCTACTTCATCAAGCATCGAGTATTACCTTGCCAATTCCAGTTTAGACATTGCTTATGATCTAGGGTCTCTTGGTCTTTTTGCATTCAAGGTTCAATTATTAACCGGTAATCCGTCATCATCATTATTCTTGTTCCACCCACCACCTAGCATTCAAAATCCCTCCTCCACTAAAACTTTGACTTCGACTTTGACTTTTTGCTACTCCAGTCGACTACCCACCATCCATTGAAAATCCTCAAAGATCCGGTCTTGGTGTTCCCGCTACCTCCGCTACCAGTTCTTGACCATTTGTTCATACTGTTCCTGGTACATAATTTCTTGGTTGTACATGATCTAATCGAATCAGTTAGAGAAGATTCTTCACTCGAATCTTCAAAGACTTCATTAAAATAAACAGTCAAAATTATACACAGTACATACTTTGTACGATTAATTACTTGCTTCATTTGCATTTTCTATCTATCTCTTTGCTGAATATTCAACCTGATGGTTAATCATTCATCGATTGGTGCAAAACTTATCATCTCGGCTTCTTCTTCCGTTTAGTCTGCTTTCTTACAGTGTTGTATCCGCTTTTGACTCAAGAGAAACGCTCCGAAAGCCCCACCATCAAACCTCCAAATTCTCCTTTCAGATTCAACCTTCTCATTTACAACCTGCCTCGACTTTCGTGAAGGCTCCGGAGGGCTATCCTCGACCGTAGTGCAATTGCTCCAACATCCTATACCCCCCATCGCTCTCATCATGGCTGAACCTCAAGAATCATCATCGTCTACTCAGACGGCCCCGCTTGGTGAGTCTCTGCGCTTACTCCTGCTGTTGTCGACCCAATCACGACATCTTATCGACATACATTGAGAAAATGAGGCTAACACTGGCCACGCAGGCTCTGCACCTTTCAAATTGAACGGCAAATCCTCTACTGAAGGTTCCCCACAAGTCCGGTTCGCCGCGGTCAACGAGCAAATAGCACCGGATGCAAGCTTCGCTGGTCTGGATCATAGCACGGCTACGCAGAACATGTTAAATAAGGAGCAGGTAGATTTAGATCAGTTATCGAAGACACTTCAAGGAACTCACCTACAAGAACGTCGCATGAGCCATTTTGCATTCGAGCCTGTGTCTCTACCAGCTTCGAGAGTACGTCATTTCTCTTTGCAACATTCCATATTTCAACGGGTTCTGCCAATGTGTGGTTTGATAGTTCAGCTTGAAGTGTCAAACTGTAACAAAGTCAAAATTTGGCTGAACCACGGGCTAGATTTAGTAGACTCTATGCATTAGGAACCACAATTTGCTTTGCAAGGGATACGCATTATATGGCCCACAATAGCGCATATTGCTATTGTTCATAATCTGACTTTGTTTCTGTTTGGAGTCTTGTACTATCCTACTAACCCGTTGAATTGTAGATACCCTCAACCGAAGAGAACTCGCGAGAGGCTAGCCGATATAACACACACAGTTCTTCGAGTCGACCCTCCCCCCATCAAAGTCCTCGAACATCATCCATGCATTCTCCACCCATAACCCCTGCTGCAACACGATCGAGAGATGCTCCGACCGAAGCAGCAAAGGGGGTTCCAGCCCAGAAAGTGGCTGCGGAGGGGGATCCGGCGGCTATGACACCTCAGATTTCACCACCTAGAACCTCACCCTCAACTACAAACGCTGATGCCTCTCGACCTGGATCCTCTGGACAAATAATGGCTAGCCCTACTAGCAATTCCAACGAATCATCTCAATCAAAACCACATCATACTTTTTCGATTGGTCCTACTGCAAACGACACCTCCGTTCCTGCATCTAGAGAACCTAGTCCCGCTCGTTCTGCTACTCCCTCGGCCTATAGCAGACCTTTTACACCAGCCGGTGATATAGATGATCCTTACGCCGCATCTAGAAGAGTCCCGCAGCCCAAGAATGCCGAAGCTATTGAGTCGAGGTTCAGATTTGGCGCGGTAGGCGCAAAAAAGCGACAATCTCCAAGCTCATCCACAACTAGCTTACCTAGATCCTCTAGAAGTGCGGCAGACGGAAAGACAACAGCACAAGGTGTCGAGAAACGACATACTGGATTGTTTGGACATAAAAGTCATTTATCAGGTGTCCACGATGATAGTGCATCAACAATACACAAAGCTCACGGTTCCATGTCAGAGCTCAAGCGATTCTTGAAAATTGGTCAACACAAAGTCAAGCGTGCTGGTTCTCCAACACCATCTACTAAATCCGGTACCTCAATAAATAAAGCATCGCCATCTAGCAAAGGACAGCAGCTTCCATTTGGAGATGACCACGGGCTAACTTCGAAATATGGCAAGTTTGGAAAGGTTCTTGGAGCTGGAGCTGGAGGCTCCGTACGTCTGATGAAGCGAAGTAGTGATGGTAAAACATTTGCCGTAAAGGAGTTTCGAGCCAGACATTCTTATGAATCAGAAAAGGAATACACAAAGAAAGTAACTGCCGAATTCTGTATAGGATCAACTCTACACCATGGTAACATTATTGAAACATTGGATATTGTGCAGGAGAAAGGAAAATGGTACGAGGTTATGGAATATGCGCCTTACGATCTATTTGCCGTTGTCATGACTGGTAAAATGTCGAAAGAAGAGGTTACCTGCTCATTCCTTCAGATTTTGAGTGGTGTCACATACTTGCATAGTATGGGTCTAGCCCATCGAGATCTGAAGCTTGATAATGTTGTGGTCAACCAATATGGTATTATGAAAATTATCGATTTTGGCAGTGCTAGCGTGTTCTTGTATCCCTTTGAAGGAGGCATTACGCTATCCAGTGGTACGTTACTTTAAATTTCCTCAAAAAATTATGCTAATATTCTTGTTCTAGGTATTGTTGGCTCCGATCCTTACCTCGCTCCAGAGGTGTATGACGAGAAGAGATATGACCCACAGCCAGCTGATATCTGGTCTCTTGCAATTATCTTCTGCTGCATGTCTTTACGTCGATTCCCATGGAAAATGCCTAGAATGACGGATAATTCCTTCAAGTTATTTGCCTCTCCTCCATCACCAAAACCAGAACATCAAAATGGAGCAACCACACCAGCCACAAAGGAGTCGGATACCAAATCTTCTCATTCGAAAAACGGTCCTAACGGCTCCGGTTCTGATGTTGACATGCTCACCTTGATTAATTCTATTGAATCAAGGAAGCCTCCTGAACCACCAAAGCCAGAAGTGATTAAAGGACCAGATAGATTACTCCGTCTCCTACCCAGAGAGAGTAGAGACATTATCGGATTGATGTTGAAGCTGGATCCAAAAAAGAGAGCTACGATGGCACAGATACTGGACAACCCCTGGGTAAGAGATACAGTGATATGCCGTCAAGATTCAGATGGCAAGCCCATATCGGCTCCAGGTCATACACATACTCTTGAGCCACCAACACCACCTCCTTCCTCGAAATAACGAATTTTACGTAGCCTTGGATGACTCCATTTGCATAGTCAGGGTTGGGATTAGGGGGCGTTTTGGGTGGGATTTACATAGGTTGATTGGTTCATATTGATGGCACTACTTCACAGTGCAGTGCATAAGGCTCATTTTTAGATAGTAGAGGAATTGTGGTAGATTGTATATCCATAGGAGTGCTGGAGATTTTATATTATTTTTGGAATCGTTACTAGATACATACCTCGAGGTCGTTTTAGATAGGAATGTTGTTGAGTCCTTATTATATTAACGACTGTTTTTAATTAAAGCATAGCTATATATATATATATAATTCTTGAAACACGATTGTAGTCTTCTTGTTCTTTGCTTACTTGAAAAGTTCAAACGTGAAGCATTGATAGAATTCGGCTGCTAAAGTGACATTTCGTCAATGTCATCCACTCCCATCCCTCTGGCGTAACCTTAATATATATATATTTTACAACTAGCACGACGCCTACCACTTCTATTCCCTCGACGGCCTCCATTAATGCTTGTCTCTCTTCTTGCTCGTTGATCCGGAGTATGCGCGGTTCTCGAGGATAGCATGTCAGCCAAGATTCGACAATTCAACGACTGATCAAGTTTAGAAGTTGCAAACTCTTCTTTGTTCCTCAAGCATTATCATCTGATAATTTGAGCAAATTTCCATGAAGGGTTCACTGCTGTGTATTCAGAAATGCATACAGACATGCATGATATCATGTGACCAGGTGGGTGTCTTGATCAATGGCCGATGTTCGGTTAAAGAAGATTCGAGAAACCCGAGAGGTACAAATTATTTTTCTCCACACCCAGTCCTCCGAGCTTCAATTCTTTGATATCACTCCAAACAACTTTCTGCCAATTACTTTCCATTCAAACTTTAAATACCCTCAAAATGGTGAGTGAGCTTCTCGATTCACTTGCGCCTTGAAGACTTCAAAGTTCAGGGCAGTTTCAATCCTTGTGAAAGCCTACCGAGCATTTTAGCTTTTCCTCTGTATTATATTTACTAACGAACGTTGATATTGCAGTCTACCGCCCTCAAGTCCATCAAATCCCTCGCTCCTCTCCTCGACCGTGTCTTGGTCCAGAGAATCAAGGCTGAGACCAAAACCGCCAGCGGTATCTTCCTCCCAGAATCAAGTGTCAAGGAGCTCAACGAGGCTAGAGTTTTAGCTGTTGGTCCCGGAGGTTTGGACAAGGATGGAAAGAGAGTTAGCTGTAGCGTGCAGGCTGGTGACAAAGTTTTGATTCCTCAGGTAAGCTCGATGAGTGTGTGGTAGATGAGGCGGGTGGTGCGAAGGTGGCTGCTTGGGGCCATTCTTGCAGATGAGGTCGATATCTGCAGCATGGATTATGAACGAGGGTTTTGGAAGCTGTGGAACATGTGGATCGTTGGGCTGCGCTAACTAGGAGTAGTACGGAGGATCGCCAGTTAAGGTTGGAGAAGAGGAATACTCTTTGTTCAGAGACCATGAGTAAGTACAATGTTCTTCGCGCATTCTACTGCCTTGCAACATGTTTCTGACATTAGATACAGTATCCTTGCAAAAATTAACGAATAAATGCTTTCACGATATGACGAGTTGATGGAGGGTGTACCATAAATGTATTAAATCGAGCATAGCGGGCAAAGAAAAAAGATATCAAGTAAAAAGGATGTTGGAAAAAACATGTCGATGAACTGGCCTAATACTAAGGGGCTCAAGGGGACGAAGTTTTTGTGTATACCTTGACCTCCGCCGGTGGATTGCCGTGCATGAATTTAAATGAATCTCTTCTCCTCAAATCTCAAAGTGTTTCGGGGTACGATTTTGATCGCAATCCAAGGGATTGTGTTTGCATCGGACATTTATTCGCAGGCATTGAAAGTTATGTCGTGCTTGTGTTAGAGGATCATTCCCGTATTGTGGTTCCTTTTGATGCAATTCGCAATGAGTAGTGAGCGATAGGGCAGAGTAAACCCCTGATGGACATGCAAGAGGTGCATGCCAATTTATTGCGGCTGTAAAAATGCAGGTGTAACTTTTGGGTAGTTGGGTAGTTAGGTAAGTGATATATGGGTAATTGGCGTTTGTTTCTCAAGCCAAGGATAGGGCCGTTTTCTGAAACCAAACGAAAATGTTTTACCGCCCTGCTCAATTTCTCGAGGAAAACGGAGAACCAATGAATGATGTTGTCATACATGTAATAAACATCCCTCCAGCTGCGCCTTTGACCCTACTACTTCATGTCCAGATTGTTCCATGGGTCATTTTGTAGGTTATAGGATTGATATGCATTGTGTAGATGATAGGATTGATACATTTCCTTTTTAGCATGCCAGTAGTTTGGTCTGTCTCTGAATCGAAACACAAGAATAAATAAAAAGTAAATTCTTACATACTTGTATCACAAAGTCCGCTTTCTTAATCACTAATAATCTAATCATTGTGAATGAATGGTTAAACCGTTGAAGTGAATAGGAGATTCGAACCCATAAACGAAAGCTTCGTCATATGGAAACAATCACAATATAAACGACTATTGTTTCTGTACAATAGCACACCGAATCCTTCTTTTTCTTGTCAGCCAGTACTTTTCGAATCATCACGATTCTGTTTACTTTTTATTCACAGCACCACACTCCTTTGGTTCTTCAGAAAGGAATCCTCTTCTTTGCAGTTGTTTGTCTTACTTCTTCTTACATACTACTCAAAAACATCGGTACGAAATTCAAGACTGTTTACACATCTTCTCCCAAAGTTGATCTTTCGAGGAAAAATGCATCTATCTCTTTTCACACTCGTCCTGGTGGCATGTTACTCTTCTCAGCTGGTAGCTGCGCATACAGTCTTCACGACACTTTTTGTAAACGATGTGTCGCAGGGCGATGGAACTTGTGTGCGCATGCCCTCAGATCCTAGCACGGCTACATTCCCCATCAACGATTTGGATAGTGATTCCATGGCGTGTGGTGAGTTTTCCGCTGTTGAGATCTTCTATGTTGGGATGTATTGAAAGGTGCTAATAATGAGGATAGGATTTAATGGGACACGAGGAGTCGAGCGCGTCTGCGCGGTTAATCAGACGGCGAAATTGAGCTTCTTGTTTCGGGAGTATGCGGATGGTTCCCAGGAGGGCGCTATCGATCCGAATCATAAGGGTCCTTGTGCGGTGTATATGAAGCGTGTGGCTTCGGCTATTAACGATACGGCGGTGGGATCTGGTAGGTGTTTTGCTTTTTTCTTTCTCGTTCTTGGATTCCTGAAAGCGGGAACCCTAGGGTTGCATGACTAGGTGTCTTTTTGTTTATATTTCTCGGTGAAACTAACTTGTCTATAGGCTGGTTCAAAATCTGGGACGAAGGCTACGACAATAGCACACAGAAATGGTGCACCGAGAAGCTCATCCAAAACAATGGCTACCTCTCCGTCAACATCCCCAGCGATCTAGCAGGTGGATATTACCTTGCTCGGCCTGAACTTCTCGCCCTCCATCAAGCTGACAAAACTCCTCCAAACCCCCAGTTCTACACCGGCTGTGCACAAATCTATCTCGATTCCACCGAAACCGCCGTCCCAAAAGATACAGTCAGCATCCCCGGCTACGTCAACATCCACTCCCCATCCGTCCTCTACAACATCTGGAATCCCCCACCTACACCCTACACCATGGCAGGTCCCGCTCCCTACCAACCTGGCACCTCCAGCATCTCCAACACCACCGGTAGCAAGGCCGCGAAATTCTCAACCTATACTGCGAAGCAAGACGAAGGGCTTCTACCGCAAGACGCAGCAATCACGAATGCGAATTGGTGGGGCGTCGAAGTCGCTGCTTACACGAACGAAGCTGGGTGCTGGGATGCCAGCGAGAATTGCTGGAATCAGACGACGGTGTGTTATGATTGTGCGCCGCCGACGGGGATAAGGGGTGCAGGGCGTGGGAGGCACATTGTACGGATATTCAGAAGGGGTGTGAGGGGGGAGATTTCAAAGGGCCGCCTGTGCTTGTTGAGACGGAGGGAGGGGTGACGATGACGGCGACGATTGCGCCGGCGGCGGAACAGACAGGGGGAGTGTATGCGGCGGGTTCGACGGTGGTGAGTGCGGGGAGTTTGGGGACGAGTGAGGATGGGAAGTGTGGGGACGGGAATGGTCAGACGTGTAAGGGGAGTGGGTTTGGGGAGTGTTGTAGTCAGGTGGGGTATTGTGGGGGAGTGTGAGTTATTGTGGGGTGGGGTGCCAGGGGGACTTTGGGGTTTGTGGATGAGTTTTGTTCGATTGGGGTGGGTTGAGTTGGGTTGGGTTGGAAATGAGGGGTGAGGTGAGGAGAGGGTGGATGAGAAGAATATGATGGACTGGGCTTGAACAAGCTGGCAGGTCTTTGTAGTGGAACATGGAATGGGGGAATTGGGGACGGGAGAGGGAGGGGGGATGAATATTCTACGTCGACTTTTTATGATAGTTTGAGGGAATTTCTCATTGCATTTGCATCTGCATTTGCATTTAGGCCTGGGTTCCAGTTCCAGTTTACTGATACACGACGACGCAATTTGAAAGAGAAAAAGGGATAGGAAAGATCGAGCAGACTTCGACACTCCTTCCTATATCAAGATGCAGATCAAGATGGAGATGGAAAGTAAGAGCATTCTCTTCTCTTCTGTACATATTTTTCCACACCCTCCTTAGATCCTCGATCGAACAAATGAAATATAAGGATTCAAACAGAAAATACCTCACCTGCTCGAGTAAATCAATATTTATGTTGATATGCACATTCATATCTGTATTTATCCTTCTTCAATTCGCGATTCACAAATATCGGAGCACGAAATGGGAGAGCGAGTGTGCGGTCATGTATACCTGTGTACATATGGATCACGATATCTATCACAGTAAACGCCGTCTTTGAATCTAGGTAAACATAACTTTATCATCACTTTATCATCACTTTATCATCACTTTATCATCACTTTATCATCAGTCTCATCATTAGAATCAAGATCGTAGGTATATAGGGTTCAGCTTCTCTGCTCCCCAAGGAAATACTCTCACAACAGAAACTACCCCCTACTTCTCCAAACCGGAGTTACAGGCTCAAAAGCCAATTTCATCTCATCTCATATCAGTGATATCACTTCTATAACTTCAAAGTATCTCATATGCGCAACATCTAGTGGTATTACACGTCAAGAAATCTCACATGCCAGAAATGATGCAAACACGAATGTGCGAGTTCCACGCTGTGCAGCTCTTCACATCACTGTATCAAATGCTACGCTTTAGAGCCATGCTGTGTCGAAAACACTGATCTGCGTTCTACGTATACATCATACTAGTATAATATGAAGTGTATTACCACAAAAGTACTTTATTACCAACATATCTTCCCTCAATCGTTCACCCTGCAGGCTATGTTGTGCTATGCAATAAAATCCCATAGAATATCAGAATCTTCGCTAAAATCTACAATCTACAAAGGAAAATTTATTCACAAAGCCCTTCAATGTAACTTCTTATCTTCTTATTAACCATCCTTTGACAAATGAAATCTAACATCCTCCTTTCTCTCTCATCCATCAAATTAACCTTAACAGCTATCAAGCAGCTTCCGCCATGATCTGTTCACCCTCATCCAACATCTCAGTAATCTTACCAAGATTCTGAATCATGCTACGACCCTGTCCCACCAACAACAATTTCTCCGCATTAGCCGGTAGACCCAAATAAGTAGGAGGTTCACGCTCGGGTAATTTCTTAACCCATTCTGTGAAATCTTTCATTGTAGTTCCGCTTGGTACGACTAAGTTTCCAGTCTCCGATTCATCACCTGCAACACCTTCGACCAATTTATGACCGATGTCATAGGCGGCTGGAGTCATGAAAGAGTGGACAAGTTGTGTGAGACGTGCGAAATCTCCTTCGTCGTCGATTTTACCACCGTATGTCTCCACGATCAGTGTTCGAAGCATATCCCAAGGGAGGTTTTGTGGGGCCACATTAGATCGTCCTGCAGCCACTGTTTCCACCCAGGTATCGATGATATATGCAGAACATTCATACTATAAGAGGTTAGTATAGTTAAAGGAAATTGGGTATGGCAAACTTACATCACTATCGTTAAACTCCCAGAACCCTTTCCATCCAAGACTAGGAGCGTATCTCAAACGCTCTTGAACGACAGCGTGCAAGAAAGACAAGAGAAGATACAATCTTGTTCTCTCCACAGGAGTCTTTGTACCTCTGGTAGAAAGCGATGCCATAGAATCCTTCATGTTGGCTCTGACACCGGCTGGCTGCTCATACATCAACACTCTGGATGCTCGCAACAAATTGACAGGAATCTTAGGACTGGATTCCATTGACAAGAACAATCTAAAGTTTGCATGGGGTTTGAGTGAATCCATGCGTTTCTCCAGACTCTGTAGCCAGGTTGGTGCCAGATGAACGTTCTTGACAAGGACCCATGATCCATTGGCAGCTGCATTACTGATAGCCTTATCAGCGGTTGCTAACCCTTCATTGGAACCCATAGCAATGTTTGTACACGCGGCTCGTGATTGCTCCACGAGGTTCTCGACTTTGTAACTTGCATCGAACCCAGGGCTTGAGCAAAGTGCAATAGGGCGGCTTGCAGACACTTGCTCGACAATTTGCTTAAGGTCCTCAGTGATGTCAAGAAGGCCAGAGCCAAATACTGCAGTAACAAATCGCTCAGCGGCAGGAACAAATCGATCAAGCCGGAAAAGCTTGATAAGCAATAAGGATATAAGCTCTTGATCTCTCTTTTCAACATTATCATCCCAGACTTGAGGAACGAAGTTTTCTGCCAGTTCCTCGGATAAGAAACGGTCCCAAGCTTCAGAAGACACACCCTCAAGTTTACCCTTGAAAGCAGGAAGTTTAATTGCATTGCCCATGACTTCATCCCTCATGTCACCATCTGTTGACAAATCAGTGCCCACCACAGTCTCATCTAGAATGACGTCAATAAGACTCTTGTCCATCTTGTATGGAGCTGCTTGGGCGAGAAGCATTGCTAAGGTAATCTTGTCTTTCTGGAGTAGTCCCAGAGATGTACGCTGGTAGGCGGTGACAAACAAGTCTTCAACGATAATATCCCGACGCCTATCGTGGTTCGTCTCTGATTCTAGTCGCTTATTACCCTTCAGCACAGAGTGGAAAATGTCGAGGAAGTACTGTAGAGAGAATTGATAGAAATGGTTCAGGTAGTGTAATTGTTCAAGAACGGCGAAAATGGCACTGCAAGAGCGTGCGATGATATTGTACTGGAGTGTAATCTCATCAACCTCAGCCATTACACCTTCAGTGTTACCCATCTTCACGGAGATTTCTGCAGCTTCCTTCTTCAAGGTCTCAAGAGTTTCAATAACGTTGTCATCATCAAGAATATTGCCACGTGATTCGTTCAAGGCTTGCAGCAAGCGCTTCTCGAGCTGCCTAAGATGAACCTTGAATTCGCCTTGTAACTTGATAAGATTAGAGCGTCTCTCGTCCACATCAGGTCGTTCAGATTTGAGAACGTCATTGAGTGACTGTGTTTGCAAACTACTCTGCGTGACTGTGAAATTGACGAATGTTGTGCGACTGCAAATGTCCGGTGCGAATGTTGCAGATGGATCTCTGGTGGAGAGGTAAATCTTGAATGCGGGCGAGAAATCGATTTCTTGCTTTCCAAGCTGGATGAGCACACGCCCACCAGTCTTTTGGTACTCTTTGTTGAGGACGTGGTTAAGAATTGGGTCCAGGTATTCAGCATCTTGGATAAGAATAGGATTTCCAAAACGAAGGGAGCTTTCTAGTTGTTTAGTGAAAGAGTCATCCAAGAAACTGGTGACGGTAAGCTTTCTGTCCTTGCTCTGCTTCTGCAAGAACTCTGTAGCACGACCAGAAGGATCAATAATCAATGGATATCTATTGAATCGTTTCAATATGATAGCATTTTCAGTACAAAGATCATCCACTGGTAGAGTGTCTTGTTGCCATCCAAGTCGCTCATCGGCACTTGAGAGATATTCAGTGACTGGGTTATGTTGTTTGTAACTGACTCCAGACAAATGGAGTTGATGCAGCCAGTCTTCCATCATGTTCTTCCGGTATTGCTGATCATAGAGACCACTGTATGCAAGAAAAGCAGCGGCAACAAGGACGTCACCCACAAGTGTGCTGATTTGTGTCTCAAACGACTTGCTTCCCTCTTCCCAGCGTATTCGTTCAGAAGAAAGACTGTCAAGCAATCGAACACTACGATCAACCTTGAATTGAACCTTTGACATCTCAGACTTGATAGCCTGTGTTTCACTGATCAGAGCTGCATATTCTGTCTTGTAAGTTGCAATACTTTGTTCCAATGTGTTGATAGTGTTCTCAATGGCCTGGGCCTCAGCTTTGGTTTGTAGAGCTTGTTCCTCGAGCAACCCAACCTCCTCTCTCAGTGGCCCTACGCGATCAAGAATTTCAGAGTAGTTGACTTGAGCCTGAACCCATTGAACGAGCGGTCCACAAGCTTTGCTGGCACGGTTGACTTTTTCGTAAGTGAAGTCATCGTTTGAAAGAAACTCGTTGCGCATCTTTACACGCAGATTCTTCGTCATCTGCCTCTCGTTGTCATAGTTGACAATGCTGGCAATGAAGTCATCTTTTCTGATAATACCCTGTACTGTCTTCCAACTCTCGATCTTATGGCCAAGGAGAGTGCAGACTGAGTCCAGAGCAAGTTTGACACCCTGAGGTGGGTTACCCATGGAACGAACCTCAGTTAGATGTTGTCGCTTGATGTTGCTAACACTCTTTTGAGCTTCGATAACAGCAGGCTCAGCGTTGGCCAAATCGTTGAGTACAACCTCACGACGTTCGGCGACTTCCTTTTCCTGTATTTCTAGAGCAGCTTGAATTTCGAGTGAAGTCGTTTTACGTTGCTCAGCCTCTCTTTGATCCGCTACCATGCGCTGCAGTTTCTCATTGGCTTCTGCATCTTTGCGTTCCAATTGACCTTTCTTGTCTGCTAAGCTAACTCTAAGATCACGCACTTTATCGACAGTATCTCTGAGCTTTTCCAAACCGACATTAAGATGTCTTTGCTGCTCCTCGAGATCATCTCGTTTCTCCGTGTACAGTTTGACGTATTGAGCCACGAAGTCTAAGAAGTGTCTAGGTGTGAGAAAAGTTACTTTGCCTTGCTGCTTAAATAACTTGACATTGA